ATTCCTTTCTAGCAAGCCTATTAATGTCCGACGGCCCATTGACTTGAAAAAATATTCTATACATATGAAATTGACAGTGGGCGGGGGTACTCGACTCTCCCCTATATGAAAACAATATATTTCAAAATTCTTTAGAAAATGAACATAATTTTACACACAGGAATTCTTCCCAAAATCAGCATTCAGAAAGGAAAAAAAAATCAGCCATAAAATTTAACCCATTAGTTTAGTTGAAATAATTATAATAAGATAAACTTAGACTTTTTTTTATTTTTATCTGACGTATAAATATCTATAAGAAAAAGTTAAGGAAATAAATTTAAAAATAAATATTCTTTGAAAGAAATTTTGTGTTTAAGACATTAAAAAGAAAACAGAATTACTTGAACGGGATCAACAGTTCCATTAGGATCTGTGGGTATATGAAAACGCAATTCCATGAGAGAAACAGCAGCTTCATCATTCTGATGAAATTCGAGGGTTACTTCACTTTTTGCATTGGTACAATGTGAAACATTGGTGAGTGGAACTTCAAATGCAGTATTTTTATCCACATCAAAGGAAAGAACATTTCCTGAAATCGAACAGAAAACATTAAGGAAAAACTTATAACATTTAAAACTAAATAAAATCCTTCAGTACTAGTACATGAAAAATTAAGATGTGAAGCAAAATTATTACATTGAGAATATTCTAGGAGAATGAGACTAGTCTCCGGCAGTCAAAATTTAAAAATAATTGAGAATTTTCCCTTCTTATGTATTTATATACGAATTTAAAATTTTTTTTAAAAATGTAAATGTATATTTATGTATGTAAGAAACACAAAAAAAATTTAAAACAAATTATAAAAGAAAATATACACAAAATCTAAAATAAAAGGGAAAAAAAAGATATGTTAATTTTATTTTCTTCATTTTCAAAAGATGAATAACTATTTCATCAGTTAACACATGAATAAGTCCTGCATCAGAATCAGATGTGCTTGTAAACTCAATCAAGCATATTTCCCAGCCTCAATAGCTTAAGTGTGGTGTACAAATGATAATACTATGGGCTACATATGGGTGTTCTATTGCTGCTGTTGTTGAAGGCATAATTAATACTATCAGTGCTATTTTGGCCAACTTGACCCAACACATGTTCTATTACACCAATTTATAGAACAAATATTTACAGCAGACTAAAACATTGTTTTCCAGAAAGAAAAAAACCTTGTTGTCTTGATATTTAGCTAGTCTCTGCAGAATTTTCTCTACTGACATAGCTTGTACAGATGCTGTTAGTTGGTGAATAGATTTTAATCTACTCCTTTGTTCTTCTTTTGAAAAATTTACTCCATTGAATTTAGGATTCAAAATATTAGCAGTACAGTGAATAGGTTTTAATGCCATACAGAGTATCAGCTACATTTTAGATTTCCAAATTCATGACTTTTCACGTTAATTCCAAGAATTTTTCACGACTCAACGAAGTTACTATTTTCTCCGACAAAAACACAACAAATTTAAAAAAGCATCATAACATTCATTGAAAGATAAGTATAATCAAAATTGTTATGCTGTGCATCTTCATATTTATAGATTTTAAATTTAAAAAACAGAGCAAAGAAGGAGCTAAAGCAATAAAATAGCTGAAAAAAACACAAAAGCAAAAATTTTTTGTTTCTTTTTTGCTGCAGTATTATATTCTAAAGATATTTTTCTTGTTCATCGGAAAGGAAAGAAATACTCCTGATTTTTCTGTTCTCATTTCGGAATAAAAAAATTGCCAATGACTGGCTTGCTTCAGCTAAAATTTTAAACTGATAAAAAAAAAAAAAGAATAATAACAAAAATTCTGAAATCACAGAAGTTTAAAAGATAATTTGCTCAAGAAATGTTTCTTTTCCCCCTTCATTTTTTGAATGAACACCATAATTTTTAAAGAACACTATAAAAACAGTTTATATTTTAATCAAATATGACTGTGGGTGGGTATTTTGTTACAAATTCAGACACTATGAAATTAAAGGGAGAGGGGGTATATTCCATTTTAAAAATGAAATTTTTTGGCGACCTAAATCCATGACTTCTCCTGATTTTTTTTAAAAAAAGTTAAAATCAAGACATTCCATGACAAATTTTGTTCAATACCGAAATTCATGACTTTCCAGGTGCGCAGATACCCTGGCCATAGTTTTTTTTCGTTTACTCTATTGAGAATGACTTTCGTTTCCTTCTTCAGAAGTGCAACTGATGGTTAAAATTTTTTGTCAGCTTTTATAAATTTCAATAAATGCTTCAACAACCATACTAATGGTCAGTTTGTCAGAGCAATCTATATCATTGGCATTCAACTAATCATTTTCAAAACATATCGTCATCTAGAATGTAAGATGTGTGGTGCTCAATGAGAAACTATTCTTAAACTGATATTATTCTTATCATCTATGATTATTTAATTCTTGATACTGATTAGTCATAGTTCTTAACGAAAATTTAAAGAAAATCTTGAACACACAGAATTTGTTCTTAAAAGTTTTTATTGAATATAATTCAATTTACTTCAAAAATTGCACAAGATACTTAGTAAATATGATTAATTTTACTCACTAAGAGAGAAAATTATTTATAGATATATAAATATTTAAAAAATTTCATTAAAATTATGTAAAAAATAACTTTTAAAATAACTTATAATTAAAAAATATTTTTATAACGTTAACAATCAGTTTTTTAAGGGCCAATTATACCTAAAATGTAGGGCTTCCGACTTTCTGCACTTTTTCTAACGATAGCTAAGTTAATGTTTTAATGTAAATAAATCTTTATTAAGCAAATCTGATTTATTAAGTTAATTTTCATACCACTACATGTAAACGATTCATAAGTTTATAGGAAAATAAATGACACTTTGTTCCAATACTCTTAGGGTAAAAGTTGGCAAAATTACCAAAAATTAAAAGCTTTAACCACTCCATAAAATATTTAGCAAAAGTTGGTAGTATAATTTGTAGCCCTGGAAATGTAATGTAATTAAGAATAATTTTGTGCAGTTTAGCATCTTTAAAAAGAAGAAAAATCGAGTACATTTAAATTTGAAATTAATCAAAATAAATATTTTTACTTTTTTAACATTCTATCTTATAAATTAAAACTGTTTATAAATTAAGAAAAGTTGTGAACAGTAATTTCTGAAGAAAAAAAAAAAGAGAAAAACATCTATAACAAATGTGCGCAATTTAACATCGGGAAAACATTTAAAACTCAAAAATTATTACACACCTACAAACTTTGCTGTTCCCCAGTTCCATCCTTTTAGGCAAAGCTCTTTATTTTTAATTTCTTCTTCAAAATTTGTTTGGAAAAACTTGCCAAGCTTTTCATTGTCCTAAAAATTAAAAACATAAACTAGCAGATAATCATTTTTAAAAAATAAAATAATCGTGAAATGAATGAGTGATAGCAAATAAAGAATTGAAATGCAAAAATTCTTTTTAAAAAGTAACATAGTGTTCTGTAGACAAGGTGATGTCTAAATGTTTCAATTATATATTTCAATCAACTTAAATTAATAATACTGGTATTTGTTAGCACCCACAACCATTGTATAGGCAGTGTTCTCCCTAAGCGTTTTTTAAAGGGCAGCCTGTATTGCTTGCCTTTTGATTCTAATAAATGTGTCCTCTTCACCCTATTTATAAAATAGTCACCATCCCTTAAAAACACCGCCTTTATAATCATATTCTATTTTGAAAATATTACTTCACTGTTTAAATAATAATTACAGACTCTTAAAATTATCTGTATTTATTGGTTTTCTGCTTAACTACTACCAATATTTACTTTGTTAGGATTATTCTTTACTGGTTAAATTTTTTAAAGTGATTTTATATTTTAAAACTATTTTTTAAAATAAAAAAAGCACCCTTTTACGTTCAATTTTTCATAACCTACAGTTTAAATAATAGTTATTCAAGTTGTTTATCAATTAATCATTTTCTGTAAATTTTTTTTTGAGGGAAAAAAAACTACACACCAAAATTGCTATTTAGCATGCCTTTAATTATTTTTATAAACTACAAATTTTTCTCTTATCTTGATAATGAAAATTACTTTTTGAAATATACACATAAAATAGTACAATAGGGTGACTTAAAAATTGTTGAGGACAAAATTTAGTAATTACGTAATATTACACAGGTTGATAAATTTTAATGGTGTTAAGTGTTGCTTTAATGGTGTTAAGTGTTCTCCCCCCCCCCAAAAAAAAATGTAGTGGTACATCTAAAAGAGCTACAATATGCAAACCTTATCAAATTTTCCATTAGTCACGAAAATAACTTTAAATATAAGTATACATGATTTAGCGATCATTTATTGGCAGAAATCTAAGGCTAAAAACAAAAGAAATCAGCGGCTCCTTAAATTATTTCATAATTCAAGAAATTTATACTTTTTGTTCTCAATACTCATTATTTCTAATAGAGCATAAAAATTTATATTCTATCGCAATGATTGTTTGACAAAACATTATAATATTATGACAGAGCTCATTCTAGGCAGAAAAAAGGGCAGGGTGCAAAAGTTTAAAAAAAGGGCATTATTATTCTAAAAAGGCAATAATTTCACGTTCTATTAAAAAGCATTGTCAATCAGTAAAAGAATTTTTTTTTAAACTTAACTGAGAGTAGCAAAGCAATCATTAATTACTTATCTTCATTAATAAATTAACATATATATCGAGTTAATGAGCTAATTAGCTTAGTAATTTATTTAAAATGCATGCATATATTAATAAAATAATAAATGTATGTTTTTAAGTGTCTGTAGTTATGATTAAAATGATTCATAATAATTATGATTTAATGATAGTGGAAGTAACTGCAAACTTTCAAAGACAAGTGCAACAATGGGTTGTGATGGCTATTTTTCCTTTCCCATATAAATCTATGTATTGACAGCAATGACAAACTAAATAAAAAGAGTTAAAAATAACAGTTCATGAAATCCATTGTAGAGTTTGGGGGAAAAGTAAAGAAGGGTTGGATGAAAAAGGAAAGAAGGGTTCAGGAAAGAAAGGGTAAAAAGGGTATGGAGTCTATTACATCAGGGGCAACAGGGTGAATTCTTTTGACTAAAAGGGCAGCAGGGTGCTGCGCCCTGTTTACCTTGCCTAGAATGAGCTATGATTATGATATAATATTAGGATAATATATGATAATTAAACTATGATAGTCTAATATTGTGATAATAGTAGACAAGATGGTTTTTTAGTACTTTTCAGTTAACTAGATGGCACAAATCTCATTAATCAATGTTTTAATAGTTTAGAACTACTTCCTCACAAGAAAAAATAAAATTGAAGGCATTCAGCAATGGTGAAAACTAAACTATATATATATTAAGATATATACTGAACATTAGTCATTGAATTTTTCAAAATTTTATTTCGATGCATGAATAAATGATTTAGCAACTTTTTGCTAGCACTTAGCTACTGAAAATTACTTAATTTTTTAACTTTAAAAGTTTACTTCCTTTGAACATATGAAAATTATAATTAACAAAACATAGTAATTTTTCAGATCAAGACTTGATCTTACTGATACTAAACGAAATAGAAACTAATTGGATTGCTCACAATACTGAGGGGGATAAAAGAATACAAAAACTTACAGCATCTTGAAATCCTCCAAAACGATGTAATACTCCACTTTTAAGCAAGATTCTCAGACCAGGGTGGGCAGCTAACCTTTGCCACCTCACACTTTCTATTTCAGATGCTTGAATTTGATCTACTTTACCAGTTTTGTTGTTCTTAAATATTACTGATTGATTTGTAAGCTTTAGCCGTCCTGGAACCTGAAGAATACAATTTATAAGTAATGAAAACCAAGTTAAACATGTACAGAATTTTACCTTGAACAGAAATAATATTTTACAATGTGGTGTTATCTGTTAACTTTTCAAATTATCTAATAACTATTGTGATCTGACAAGCCAACTACAATCGCCAAGGTGTCAAATAGATTTCAAACTTGAAATTTAAAAAAAAAATAAAATTAGATGTTTGCCCAAGGGAGACTACTAGTTATACCACTCAAGTTGGTTCTTTTCTGTAACTTTTTTTCTAGTTTCTTGTGGATCACTGCCCGGAAGTTGCTAAGACTTGGCGACTATAATGCCAACGACCAAAGTACACAAATCTCGCCAATTTTTCAATTACTGTATTGTGAAGAAAAAGAACAAAGTCCAATCGAAATCTTCTTATTTGACACACCATAATAACAACAACTATTGGGGGGAAATTTTTTTTTTTTAAAGAAAAGGCAAGATTGAAACCATAACAAAGATTATTCTTTTAATTTTTAATCAAGAAATTTTACACTAAAAATATCAATTTAACTTTTTGACATTGCCTTATTTTTAGAATTAAGTGGCATTAAAAGAATTATGTTCCTTAGAAATACTCTTGATAAAATGCTGTCATAATAAAAATACTAATAAATAAAAAAAAGCACAAGAAAATAAATGTTCTTAGATTTTAAAACCTAAATTTAATGTTGAATAAACAGCTTTCTATGTCACCAGTTTTCTGACTTAAAATGCATGAAAAATAAAAAGATAAAGGAATTAAGTCTTCTAGGATGCTGTGTTAAAATGCAGGGAAATTTCCGTATCGAGATCTGCGGCAGAATAATCGCCAAGTCTAGTAAACTTCTGAGCAGTGTCCTGCGAGAAACTAAAAAAAAAACATCACAGAAAGGGACTAACATGAAAGGTATAACTCCCCACCCCCAGGCAAACATCTACATTTTTAAAAAAAAATCTATTTGGCACCTTGGTAAGTGTAATTGACGCGACAGATCACGATACGGAAATATCCCCTAAAATACTGCTAAGAACAAAAAAACAGCTGAAAGAAAAAAAGAAAAGGAAAAAACATTTTCAATTTATAAAACAAAGCGTGTTGAAAAATCGAGGAAACTGACCTGAGTGAATTATGCTATACAAACCTCCAGGTACAATATAAAGTAATCTAGTTTCAATTCTTCAAATTTACCTTTTATATTTGTCTTTCAGAATTTAAATTTGTTTTACGTTTTATAAAGTTTTAGTTGTATAAAGTTTTAGAGCTTAACAACTTATTGTGTAAAAACTAATTCTAAAAATGTATAGTAAAGAATATGATTAAAGAATTTTTCTTTCATTTAAAATAAACACTTAGTCAAAAACTACTTTGCGGAATATTTGGCAGCACATTTGGACGAACACCGAATATTCTTTACATCCCTACTTATAACATAATTCCATGATAAACATTATTAGATTTTAATGCGGCTCATTATTTCAAACACATTAGCCAAGGATCTGAAAGTCTGTGGCATATAAAATATTGTATATATTAAAAATTTTATTAATGAATTTAAAAAGAAATCATTTAAATGGCAATTTACTATACTCACCAAGCCACCTTTCTCTTCTTTCACAACTTCTGGGTACTCCAGAAAATCCATTATAAGAGTCTTCTTTCACAACTACTATTATAGAATAACAGTGCTATTTCTACAAATTATAGAAGATTGAAATAATTAATTTGTACAATCAGTCGTGTAACAGCGAACGGCGCGCAAAAGACGGCGAAATAAAATCAACAAACCAAAGTAGTAGTGCTTGTTTGATTGTTTATGTCTTCACTTCGCTTTTGAGAAAAAATAAATATGAATCATCAAGAAAAATGAAAATCTTATTTAAGCTGAATCGAATTATTTTCACCATTCAAGTTCAAACTTATTGCTTGTTTAAAATGAAAAATTTAAAACCATAGCTTGTATAAACAATTCACTAATATATTAATATTTTTTTACAGTTAAAACTTTTATTCACTGCAGCAGACGACAAAACAAAATAAACAAAGGGACAGCGGCATTTTCATGCTAAGTTAAAAGAAAAAGTAAATTTATAAGTATTTATCTAAGCTGATTTAAATTTTAAAGTTGTATCACGCATTCTACAATCTAAAGCAGTTCGTTCTTTAAATTTAATGTCATTCGTAGGAAATATTTTTTAACCTTTATGCTTGATCAGTGATATATACATTGGTCATGATTTTTTTTTAAAATTCCCTTCTTGTTTTTTAAATTATAATGATATAGACATTATAATGATTTACGGAAATATTACGTATTTCATTCGTTTTTATGAAATATCGTAATGTCTTATTGGTTTAATTTACTGAAATCAAAAATGAATATTGTATATCAAAATATAGTTCTGCAATACTATTAATTTGAAAACATGAGTTTGTCACAAAAGAGTTCTTCAGATTGTAGTAAAATAATTAGAATAAAGTGCAGGGAAACCTGAAAGTTAATATTAAGAACTTAATTTATCATTTATAAATGAGATCAAAACTTTTATAGTGTATCTTGTTTGTTGACAGCTAAAATAAGTAATTTCTGTAGGAGTGCTATTGTAAATCCTTTATAAGTTAGCCGAAAATGAAATTTTATCAGGAAATCTATGATTATCGAATTTTATATTAGGATTTCACTGAATTGGTAATATAGTAACATTAAAACTAACTTTAATTACTTTTTGAATTAACCATACGGAAAAAGTGCTAAGTTTATAAACTAATAGGATTGTAAGAGAATAATATAACTAATAGGATTGTAATGGTATGACAAGCCCTCTTCTGGAGGTCATACCAGTATTACTAAGAAAATTCACCATCCAACTCTCCTTATGCCTTCTGACTGCATGGAGAGAAAGTACATGTTTGAAAGACCATTTGAAGTAGTTTTTCCTACCAGAGAAGAATGGGATAACAACACGATCGATACAAAAAATGATTATCTAATCTGGTATACCAATGGATCAAAGAAAGGTAACCTCTCAGGACTGGGGGTCTGTGGCTTGTCACCAAGATTCAACCTTTTTGAAGGTCTTGGGGAGTATGCTACTGTCTTTCAGGCGGAGGTACTTGCTATCGTAAACTGTCTGCAGATAAATATTAAGAAAGGCTACCATGATAAGCGGATTCTTATTTTCAGCGACAGTCAAGCAGCCTTGATGGCTCTTTACTCATTTCAAGTTAAATCAAAAATTGTTCTGGAATGCAAGAATCTCCTAATAGAACTGGCAAAAAGGAATAAAATCATTCTTATTTGGGTACCAGGGCATATGGGAATTGATGGTAATGAAAGAGATGATGAACTCACGAAACAGGGATCCTCTTTTAATCCAATAGGAACGGAACCCTTCTGTGGAATCAATATGAAGACTACAAAGAAGGCCATTCTAAAATGGGAAAAACAGGAGATGAACAAAGTTTGGCGCAATTCTCCTGGACAAAAACATGCTAAAAGCATGATCAGCAGGCCTTCTGCAAAAATTGCTTCTGAAATTCTTAGGCTCCAAAGATTGAAGATTCAAACAATTGTAGGCTTCATCACTGGGCATTATCATTTCAGGAAACATCTACATAGATTGGGACTTTTCGAACAAGAACCAATATGTCGGAAATGCCGTGAAGCGGTAGAATCAGCACATCACTTCCTATACGAATGTGATGCCCTCGCCCTTACGCGCCTCACTACCTTAGGCAATCCATATCCTAAAGAGCTTCACCTTAATTCCATTAAGGGGCTGTCAGACTATAAACAAGGTAGGCAACCCAAGACAATGGAACTAGGAAAAATTGGGCTTGGAGCATGGTACAAAATGCAACATGTGCAGAGGTGCCACATATCTGACAAGCTCAAGCAAGAAGAAGAAGAGAATAATATAAAAGAATAACCGTTAAAAAGTTTAAATTGAATATGTTAAGTTTTCTAATTGCATATATATTTTTGAACAGATATTTTAAGATATTATTTATAATAAATATTTGATTTACATCAATAACAAAATAAACAAATGTCAACCAAGTTTTCTAATTGCATATATATTTTTTAACAGATACTTTAAGATATTATTTATAATAAATATTTGATTTACATCAATTACAGAATATGAATGTTTTAAAACCAATGTCATAAATTCTATTATAATTCTGGTAACTGATCTCATTCTGTAAGTTGCATGAAGATTCCCATATAAGTTGCAATAATGTATCTATTTTGATTGGTGAACTATGCAGAGATGATTGTGCTTAAACCGGAAAAAATCCGGATTTTTTGCTAACCGTGATCCGGAAATCCACGGTCCAGAAGTTTCAAGAAATCATCGATCAAATTTATGTATTGAAATTCTTGTCGTCACATTTATGCATTGAAATTCTTGTATATTTTATTTAAAAATATTAGAAATCTTTTGTTTGGAAATATTTTTTTTCTGGTAGAATAATAAATGTGATCAGAGATAAAGTCCCGCAGGGATAAAATTTTATTTAAAAAACCAGGAAAAAAAGATATAATCTTTTCATCAGCCCGCACGATTATATCCGTAAAACAGAGTGCTTTTTGATATTGTATTGCTTTATTGATACAATATTAGAAAGAACTCTGTTTTACGGATATAATCAAGTGGGCTGATAAAAAGATTATATCTTTTTTTCCGGTTTTTTAAATAAAATTTCATCCCTTTTTTTCTTTCTTTTTTTTAAACTGTTGTTTGTTATATTTTTACTTATTATTTCCCCCTTTTTTCATATGTCTTAAATTTTTCTTTGTTTAATTCTTCATTTTGAACTTATATATAATTTTTATGTATTATTATTTATTAAAAAATTTCTATTTTAGTTCACAGTATTTTGCAATCATGGCTTCCTCTGGAATCATTAAACGACTGGATGAAACAGTTGTCAATAGAATTGCAGCTGGTGAAGTTGTGCAAAGGCCATCCAGTGCTTTGAAAGAAATGATTGAAAATAGGTAGGTTTATTAAATTCGTGAGACTCAATGCCATTATATTGACATCATTCAGTATAATTTTATCCCTTAAAAAATATCTATTCTTTTTAGCTTTCTTTTCTTTTTGTATACCTTTACAAGAGAAAAAAAATTGTCTCTGGAAAAAATTATTGAATTTTCTCTCTAATTGGTAGAAATTTTGATTTGCAATGAAACATTATGAGAAGAATTACAGTTTGATTCAAGTGCCTTTTGGGGTTGCATGACAAATAAATGTCTTATTATTTGAGTTTTGAAGATTTTTGTGTTATAACAAAAATGCAAATCAATACATTATAAAAGTATGTTATAATGTGCAAAAAATTAAAATTTATCATTTTTTCATACAATAATTAGAAATGATAATTAAATTTAATTCATTGAATTTTTTAGAATATTTTTTACCTTATTTATGAGTTTGTTTTCTTCTAAGTTAGATATAAGTAAAAAAAGCATGTTCTATCATTAAAATTCTCTGGTCTCAGGAAGTTAAACTGAAATAAACGGTTTTTGTTGTTTTGGAAATATTGGTGACCACTATCAATAATTATTTCAGTTTGTTAGTTACTTGTTTATAATGTCTACCAATTCATTTAATTGATGAAATGAATTCAAAAACTGAAGTTTTTTTAAAGGTCTCCAAATCACAAAGATTACCCACAGTTTGAGACAAAAGCTGTTGACAAGGGTACAAGCATACAGAGTATATTAGCTCGACACATGTTGTAAATCATTAAAATGTGATTTTAAATGTACTACAATGTGTGTGGCTAATCCTTGAAATCTGTCAAATATATTCCTTAAGATTGTTAGAATCATCCAGGCTTTAGAACATACAAATAAATTTATTTTAAGAGCTTTTAAACTTTTTATGAATTCACCTGTTTGACGACATTTTCCTTGATGAAAATTATCGAAATCATTGCTGTATTCTCAGTTTTTGTTATTTTTTATGAGCTTGTCTAATTCAGCGTTGGGGTATTTTTTAAAATTATAAAAAAAATTAGGCCACAAACGGTTTTCATTTTCTCAAAACTGTGGCTTTCCTTTAAATTGAAGTTTTGTGTCATTTATCAGAATAGACATACAGGGCAATGACTAAAGATAAATAAAACTTAACCTAACAGTCATGAATAACTGTTGTAAACTTATGAAAATAGCGAAAAAGCATCATTTCATGACCACTTACAAACCTGGCCAAAGTCATCTGAATTACCCCTATTGTATTTGTTCAATAGTTTGCCAGAGTATGTCCTTCTGTACAAGTGGTATGTGTCATACTCAGGGATGAGATTCTTCCTCGGATTCGTGGATTTCCGCTCAGCTTTTTCTCAGATTTCTCCATTTTTCCCGCTAATTTCCGCTGAAATTTATTTTTGCACAAGTTAAAATATTTTATGAGGAATTTAAAATCCGGATTTTTTGCTAACTGTGATCCGGAAATCCACGGTCCAGAAGTTTCAAGAAATCATCGATCACATTAATGTATTGAAATTCTTGTAGTCACATTTATGCATTGAAATTCTTGTATATTTTATTTGTATATCGCCAAATTTTCCGCGGAGCGAAATTATTGAAGCCCTCATTCCTCCCTCTGAAGTTTCTCTAAAAATCATTTCCTTGGGATAAAACTGGTTGACCTTTATACAGAGATGAGATTTTTTCGCTTTTGCCTTTCGAATTTCAGCCTTTTTATCAAAAACTCGGATTCTCTAAAAGTTTCGTTTTTTTTTAAAAAATAAATATCCCCCTTTTTTTTTTTTTGAAAATTCAATCGTTAAAATAAAATAATCATATTTATTTACGATTTTCAAAGATAAACAAAAAATTCAAACTACATCCTAGCTGCTAACCCACCCTTCCGTATTTTTACTTATTTTAGCTATTTTCTCTTCACAGAAAATAAGATTTTCCGTATTTTTATTCGTCCGCCGGATAGCTCGTATTTTTGCAATTCAGACGTCATGACCCTGTTGTCTGGCGTGAAAACAAAAAAAAAAATGAAATAATAGAGGTGGATTTGGGGTGAAAATATTTAATTGCTCATTCACTTAATCTTGTAAATTTTTATTTATTATGTCTAAACAAAAACAATACAAACAAGCCTTTTAGAAATCCCAAGTCCAGTCTCTCGCGATTTTAATATCAATCATCGATTTCGTATTTACCTGATTTAAAAGTTGCGCTATGCGATTCTTATTTATGCTATTCAAACATCGCACATTATGATTCTTAGTTACGAGATTTAAAAATCCAATATCGCGTTTTGCATTTTTGCATTTTTAAAATCGCTATTTTATTATCAAACATCGATTTTCGTATTTACCTGATTTAAAAGTTGAACGTTGCGATTCTTATTCAGGCCATTTAAATATTGTATATTGCGATTCTTATTTACGAGATTTAAAAAACCAATGTCGCGATTTGTATTTACGAGCTTTTAAAACCCTATATAGCTATGCGAGCTTAAAATCCAATGTCGTGATTCGTTTTTGCGGTTGTAATATCACGCGATTTTAAAACTATGCATCTGGATCTAAAAATTACGCATCATGATTTGTATTTTCACATTTTTCAAATTCGATGTAGAGTTTCATATTCACGTGATTTAAAAGCCTCATATCGGGATTTATAATCACATGGTTCACAAGTTTAAAAATCACACTTTTTTTGTCAAATTTTTGTTTACATATATATGTTCTTGGATTTCCTCTTTTTTACTTTCTGTCTACTCTCATCCCTGCATACTCAATGAAGCCTTAATTTTATATTGGTATATATTTCTTGAAAAGTGAGCAAGAAGCTGGTGGTTAAAACTCTCACAACTTTCTTTGACTAATGTGTCCGCCACTTCATTACCGTGTATGTTCACATGTAGTGGAATCCACTCAAGTGGACATCTCGTTTCTACGAGAACTGTTTCTACAAATGTTTCTAAGTCTTTAATTAAAGAAAGATAGAAAAATTTTAAAATTAGTTCCTTAAGACAAGTACATACAAGTAGTTGATAATTAGTTTTTTATAAAACTAGTAGAAATGAAAGAAAAAATAGCAATCAGCCTTTCAAATTCGTGATAAATTTCCTTATTTTGAGAATTATTATGATTATTGTTCAATATAATATCATCAAATAAGCATTTTATGATTTTATGAAAGAAAAGGATTTTTTATTAATTTTTCCCTTTTTAGCTTGGATGCAAAGTCTACCAGTATTGTAATTACAGTGAAAGGAGGTGGAATTAAAATGCTACAAATTCATGACAATGGTTCAGGAATAAAAGTAATTATATTTAATTAATTATTTTCTATCTCTTGTAAAATTTGTGACTACAAATGATACTTTTAGTTAAAGTATTTTGTTGTTTAAACTGCTTTAAAGCATAATAATTAATTATTAGGAGGGCTGGCCAAAATAGGGGAAGCTTGCTCTATTAGTTTTTATGCACTATTTCTTACAATGTTATTGAAACTAAATAGGAAATAATAGTTACATTCAGGAATATACTTTGAGGGCTCTGTTGGCATATTTTATATTTATGTTTTAAAAATAGTTACCCTCCAGCAGTAATTTGTGAAAAGCATTTTATAGTATTTAATCTAACATTAAGAAATCCACAAGTACTGTAAAGTTTGATGATAAAAACATATGAGTTCAATAAAACTATGGTAGTAACATTAATGTTTTAAGCTTATATCGGGGGTGATTATATTCCAGGTGAACCCCCGAATTCCGGGTTTTTCATATCATCCCTCCAGGTTTAGAAAATAGGAACAGAGCATGTGATGTTTTTGCGGAATTTCGCATATCTCATGACCATTGATTCGCATTATTCCGCGAATCAAAACTTATAACCCAACTAAATTTTCACTGCAATCTAAAGTTTAAACTAAAAATTATTTTTACAATTTACATTTTGAAACCTTCACTAAATTGCATTAATGAGGCATTTTTAATACGCGTGACTCTTTCAAAATTTTGATTTTATTATTTTTTTTATTTGTCAGATTTTTATCGTTCTTAATTTGTAAAGCTACATAAAAATCCGTTCATACCTCGATTCATATTCACACAATTTTAATATCAAACATCGATTTTTGTATTTAGATTTAAAAGTTACTCATTGTGAATCGTATTCACACGATTTAAAAATTGTACATCGTTATTGGTATTCACGTAATTTAAAAATCCAATGTCACAATTTGTATTTGCAGGTCTTTTAAATCAATATCGCAATTCGTATTCATGCGAGTTTAAAATCCAGTATCTATATTCATATTCACGGGATCTAAAAACCATGCATCACGATTCATATTTTCGCGATTCAAAAATCCAATATTGCGATTTGTATTTTCACATTCTCTAATCAAATATCACGATTAATATTCTGAGAATTTTTTAAAAACAACACTGCGATTTGTGTTTTTGAGTTCTTAAAATCGATTATTGTGATTCATATTCTCATGGTTTTAAAATCAAATATTGCAATTCTTGTAAGAAATAAGTTTTCTCTTAAAAATGTTTGTTCAAAAATTATATTAAATATGAATAGTATACAAATTTATGTTTTTGCACATAAAATTTTTAAAGTTTTTCACTTCGTGTCACTAATTACCCCTGCATATTTTATGTTTAATGTCAATTCCAATAGATCCTTCCATTCCATGAAAATCTACATCAAAAATTTTATGTGGAAAAATTGGAAAGTGTCCTTTTCTTCCCCCTATATCTCTGGAAAGTTGGGGGAACATTTCAGACAGACCCCGTGAAAAGGCTGGCAGAATTTAGACTTGTGGTGGGTCATGACTGTCTTGCGCACCACCTCCACTACATTGGTATTTTTACGGGTCCGATTTGCCCACTTGTAGGAAATTCGAAGTAATGAATAGGAAGCACTTGATGGGATGTTCGACTACAGAGACTCCGAAGTGAAAAGATATTGGGGTGCTAGGCATCTGCTAATGAGTCGTTGACTTTTTTCTCTTATCTATTTCATTTGCATATATTCTTCTTGTTAAGAGTTTGTCAATTTCTGCCATTGGAAATACAAAAATAAAAAAATTTCACAACCTATTATATGTTTCAGTCTTTAACATATTATATGTTAAAGTATTATTGTTTGGGTTACTGTGTTATAGAAAAGTAAGAAAGAAAGAAAGAAAAATATTTAAAGAGCAATTTTACTTTCCCTTTAATTTTTGAGGAATGCCATTCTAAATAGAAGATGGAAAATCAAAACTGACAGTAAGTTTGCAAATTACTTCCATTTCATAATATGTATATATATATATACAGGGGTCTGTCCAGGCCGAATTTACTACCGTTTAGCGGTACCTTCACAAATTCAATTTCAGGTAAAACGGTAGTTTCACAAATTCAACTTTAGGAAAAACGGTAGTTTCACAAAATACTTTTTCTTAAAATTTTATTTTTGTATCCCTTAAAAAACGATAAATCTATATTTTTACCATGTTTTTGTATTGATTTTTTAATATAATTTTTAATTTTTCACAAATTATGTCTGAATTTTCACAAAATAGGTACCTTTCAAAAAAACCCAGACAGACCCCTGATATATATATATATATATATATACATATATATATATTATGCAAAATGAAAATTTTTGTATTATTGATTTATAACTATCGAAACACAAATTTTCAGCATTAAATTAATAAGTCGTTTTAAGGTCTTGTTTAGATTTTTTTTTAATCATGCTACTTATTTTTATTTACTTTTAGTATCAGTACATGATTACTGAAATGAATTGCTTCTGTGAATCAAACATATTACTTACAAATAAAGGTCAATATAAATTTTGCTTTGTTACAATTAGATTATTGCAATTTTTTTTTTCCCTCTTGCTTCAAGCATGATGTTTTTCAGTTTTTGTTGTCTACTATCTAATAAATTTATCTTCTCTGATTATTAGTTTTAATGAAAAATTATTTGAAATTCGATTAAAACTTTTTGCTCTGCTGTGTTGAAATGTCAAAAAAATATTTCAATTAAGTCTTATAAGCTTTAAAATACATTCATTTCCCAAAAATTTGTTAGATGGATAAAATTGAATAATACTTACTTGAACTTGGTATGTGTCTTAAATTTTTAGAAGGAAGATTTGGATATAGTTTGTGAAAGATTCACTACTAGTAAGCTTGAAAAATATGAAGATTTATCATCAATAGCAACATTTGGCTTTCGAGGGGAGGCACTAGCAAGTATCAGTCATGTGGCTCATGTAACAATTACAACCAAAACTGAAGATTCTAAATGTGCTTATAAGTTAGTTCTCATTTTTTAAAGAAAATTTTATGTTACATTACATTTGTGTTTTAATACAAGTTATCCTGCTTGTTTAGTGCACATTTTTAGAATAACATTTATTAAGATTTTAATGCATATATTTTTTCCTGTTTTAGTAATTATATTTCTGGTTAAATGTTTAAGTATTTCAATTCCTATTTTAAAAAAATTCATTCTGTGAATTTAAAATTTTAGTTGTCATAAGCTTACATTTTAATAATTCAGTGTAAATAAAGTAATTAAAATTTTTTTGTGCATGAAAAAATTTATGTTTATCTAAAATCTTAAAAAATGTAAGTAACTCTTTTTGTTTTAAACTTTTTAAAGTGATTTTCTTTCTTTTTTTAAAATTGTCGTCCACTTTAGTCATTATTTGATCAGCCTGTGTTAAAACTTAACATCTTAAGTTCAACTCTTTATTTAATAATCTTTTTTACTTTCAATTATATATAATTATTTAGAGTTCAATATCGTGATGGCAAGCCTCTACATGCACCTAAACCTTGTGCTGGAAATAAGGGAACTCAAATTTTAGTAAGAATTTTTCTTTTCTAAAAAGTTTTTGAGTTTTTATTTGTATTAAAAAAAAGAATTTTTAAAATTCTAAGTTATGAAAGATAAACTTTACTCTTTATTTATATGGACTTGTTCCTTTTTATTTTTTTATATTTGATGTTGAGTTATAGACTAATTGTTTTTTCTTTCTAGGTCGAAGATCTATTTTATAATATGAGTGTGAGAAAAAATGCTCTGAAAAATGGCTCTGAGGAGTATGCAAAAATAGCAGAAGTTGTTGGGCGCTATGCCATACATAATTCTGGTATTGCATTTGCCTTAAAAAAGGTATTTTCAAGTAATGATTTGTTAAATGGGTTAACAGCAATTATATATATTTTAACAATATTTCTATATTATTTTGAAGCAAGGAGAAGGAGGCAGTGATATTCAAACTTTGAAAGATGCATCAGCGAGAGACAATATTCGAACAATATTTGGTGCCAATGTTGCACGGTAAATGTTTTTTTTTTATTATTAATATGTCCTCTTAAGGAAAAAAGACTTAAATTTTGTCTGCATTATATAAAATGAATATTAATTTTGTAGTAGTAGGAAGATAATAAAAATTCATGCAGTACACCGTACAGAATGGACGAGAGGCTACTCTAATTTAATAACTTATTATTGTATGTAAAGATGAAAGGTAGAATTTTTGTGTATGTTAATTATTGGTTTTCATCTTTTAGTGAACTTCTTGACTTAGAAATAGAAGATTCAAGATTGAAGTTTAAAGCTAAAGGTTTAATATCAAATGCAAACTATTCTGTAAAGAAATGCTCTTTTCTTCTATTTATAAATCGTAAGTTTTTATGCATATTTTTTTCTTAGGCAATTTGTTTCAGATTACTGCCAAACTTCATTCAGTTCAATGCATATATTTCAGTTTTGATTAATCAAGGTAATTTTGAAAAAAACTTGCAAAAAATATTTTTTTTGTCTCCTAAACATCGAATCTTATTTTTTATATATTTCATTACTAATTGTGTGTAGTTATATCATTTTTAAGTTGCTGTTATTTTATTTAGAGGTTTTTACTTTAGTTTTATTTATATTGTGCATTTAATGAATTTTCTTAATGAATTTTTTTGTGCAATTTTAATTTAGAGATAGTTTGACTATTTTCATAACAAAATAGTTTAGCTCATCCAATATAACTTTTTGTATATTTAATGCTCCTAGCTGTCATAGTTTTATTTTGATACCTAAATAAATGTATGAGTACCTAAATATAATATCAATGTGTTACTATTAATCATTGTTTCTTTTTTCTAGATCGATTAGTTGACAGTTCACCAATGCGAAAAGCTATTGAATCTGTATATGCTGCATATTTGCCTAAACATATGCATCCTTTTCTATACTTAAGGTTTGTTACATAAGTAAATAAATAATTGTTTTTAAAGTGTATATTTCACAGAATGCTTATTAAACCATTTTTACTTTATTATTTGAATTAAATGCTTTTTTCAATTACTTTTTCTCAAATTTTTTAAATTCTATTTTATAGTTTAATTCTTAAAATGATGTCAATTAATATAACTCGCTTCATAATTTGCCTTGCATATATTTTTTAAATAAACTGTAAAATATTTAGTAGTAAGACTAAGTTTTTTAATAATGCTCTTCACGTAAAAGCAAAGGCTCTATTAAATCATTTTTTCTCATTAGTAATAAAGGAAGGCTTTTATTATTTATGATACATTTTTTCTAAATAATTGTTTCATTTACATGTCATATAATTTTAGTTTAGAAATTGCACCTCAAAATGTTGATGTAAACGTCCACCCTACAAAACATGAAGTTAAGTTTCTAAATGAATCTGAAATATTTGAAAAACTACAACAAGCAGTTGATTCAAAATTACTGGGTTCTAATACTTCTCGAGCTTTTTTAACTCAGGTAATGAATAATAATGTTTTATTCTTTTTTGAAAATAGCTTGTTTAATTTAATTTCTTTATTTCATCTTAATCTATCTAAAATATCAGTTACATTTTGTTTTCAAATTATTATATTTTGTCTTTGTTCAGTTATTTATGATTTTCAGCATTTATTGTTAATAAAACTTAGTTTTTTCTTCAACTTTGCATATCTAGAGGCTTTCGTTAATTTATTTTTCATCTGTAAATTTCTGCTGTATGAGAATGTATTTAGTTTAATGGTTATAAAAAGCATAATTTAAACTTTTGCTTATAAATATATTTTCTGATTATTAAAATTTAAGATTGCAGATGCATTTGGTATATAATTAATACTGAAGTAGAAATTCTTTATTTTAATTAATAAAAGAAAAAACTTTCTTAAGACTCAGAATACATTTAGCTGTTCTTGGAGTATTTTTTTTATTGTTATTATTTTGAAATCTTTTTTTTTCTGTTTTTCCAACTCAAAGATCTAGAATTTGTTAGAAACATTAGGGTCCTCTCTATAAAATTTTCACTTTTAATTTTTTACTATAATTCTTATTTACAAAAGATTCCTGTAAGAAAAAATTATTAATTCTTTTATTTAAAAAAATTCTGACCATTGAAGAGCCACGGAATAATATATAATCGCCATTTGCAAATATATAATTCTGATTGGAAAATTAAAAGCATATTTTTATTTTGTTTGTGTACTATTTTCTTTTTTTAGTAGTTCTATGCTTGTAATATACTATATTTCTATGTAATAACACCATTAAAATTGTTTTTTAATATATTTGAATTGTGCCATCTTTATTGACAGTAATGGTATCTATGACATTCTGATTATTCTAAAATTTTTAGTTTTCCTTTCTAAGGTAACATTTTAAAATTTTCTTTAATTTCTGTTTTATTTGTACTCAGCAGTAAAAAACTAAATCAAGTCTCATGAGACTGTATTGTCAACCTATGAAGTAGAAATTTATCTAAAGATGCTCTGAAATATATTGTTAAAAGCAGCATTGCAAAAACTGAAATCTACATTTATTAATACTTTTGTGAGGAAAACATGACTCTGAAAATGTATTAAAAGATTGGATAAAAGTATTTGAAAAGCATGGCTAAGAGTGGATTGTACATCAAAATATGAAGTCTGTTCCATTGTTATTAATTTTTTAAAACTTTTATGCATTGCTAATCTAACTCTCTGGGTATTGTAAATATTGTGTGTGTGTGTTTTTTTTAATTACTTGATACAATATATTTTAAAAGAATCATCTCTAGATCTTTAAAAAAATACTCACCAAAGCTAGTTATAAATTTAGTATTTTTTTAATAATAATATTTGGACAATATAACATTAGTGTATCCTCATCGTGCAAGTTGAAATAATTACGTGTAACACTTAAGGTATATGACTGGGGGAAAATCTTCAATTTTGTTAACTGGAAACGACAGCGTGGATACATAATTAAAATGCCACCAGAAAAAAATATGAACAATAAAAGTAATAAATCTTTGAATAAGTACTCCACAAAAATGAGTATTGTGGTTTCTAATTATTTTATTATTTTATTCATATAAGATGCTCTATTATTTTTTGGCAATTACACAAATTTTATAAAAAAACGTTGATTTTGAGATAATTTTTTTGCGCCAACACACATTACAAAAAAAAAATTATTATTCTATGAAGCTTTGTATGTAGGTTTTGTGTAATATTAGCTATGTTTTGAACTAAAAGCTAAAGTCTAAGTGTGAATTGATTGTTTTTCTCATGCTTTAAGCAAGAATGTTATTCAATTGAAGTTTTTGTAACAATATATTTCACTCTATTTCATTGTATATTTTTGATACTATTTATATATTTTAATTCAAAACCCAGGTAACCATATTATTGATATAGAAAAAAAATTATTTTGATATTTATGTGTTACAATTTGTTGTAGGGCTGTTAGCGTGACGTAAAAAATTTGCTGAATTTTTATGCTGAAATTTGATTTGATTTTTAAAAAATATTTTTACAAATTTTGAAGTTTACTTTAGATCTAAATTTTTAAAACCACTGCTTACCACAAATAAAATTTAAATTTTAATTAAGGTTGTTTTTGGAAAAACTTGTACGTGAACCCTGTTGGATATCTTAATTATATATATATTTTTTGGTATCCAAAGACTGATATAGTTAATTTTATAATGATTTTTTATTGTATAGACATTACTACCTGGAGCACCTGTCACTGTTGATGACCAGTCAAAGGAACCTACAACATGTCATGATTCTTCAAAAGACAAAAAAATTTATGACCACCAACTTGTCAGAACTGACTCTAAAGAAAGGAAGTTGGAGGCATTTTTTTGTACACCTCCTTCTGAAATTACAAACCCATCAAATGAAGAAAAAGGAAATGATAAAAAGAAGTAAATTATACAAATTTCTATGTAATATTTATTAATTATGTGTTAATAATTTTATGCACATGCACAGCATGGAAAGATTATTTTAAATGGTCATATTTTGCAAAATTTTTAATAAATTTTTTTTTTTTGAATTTCGCAAATATTTTTGTTATTAATTATAAATTGCTTCAAAAATGTTATTTGATTTTATGAAGTATTTTTCTTATTGTAGTAAGAAAATTTAAAAAAATATATTAGTTTTTAAAATAAATTATATTTGTGTTTCTATGAACATTAAAGCTAGGCTTACCAAATTTTATGTAGTTATTGCTATATTTTCTGGCAGAGGGTGTTTAAAGAAAGAGACTTGTTTTCCTGCTTGTTTATTGCCGATCTCTCAAACTTCTAAACGCTTTAAACCTTATTGATAAATGTGAGAAATCGCTTGGACCTAACCACTAGTAAAGTTATAAAAAATTCTCTTCAGTATTAAGATATTTTAAAATATGTCAAAACTAAAAGTGGCTCTTCCATTATTGTAGGTTATTATATGTGCTTACTTGGGAGAGTATCTCATTTTTCAATACAAAATTATTTGTTATAGTTGTGATGAAGTTCCACAAAGAGTTGAAATACAATTAACGAGTGTATTAGAACTTCGGGAGGAAATAGAAAAAAACTGCCATGCAGGTAATTTTTATATAGTATTTATACTGAATTTTGAGCTTTTTTATTTTTAGTGACTGGTTTTTATACAACACTGCTTAACAATTATGTTTCAGTAAATTTTGCTTATTGGACTTTTATATTTTAAGAAACATTGAATCCTCAAAAATATCAGGCTTTGTTTTTTGGTTAAATTCAAACTTAGGAATTTTAGATTACATTTAGACATTCTAACTTGAAAGTTCTTATTTTAAGTCCATTTTTTTATTAATATCGTTTGTAATGTAAATTTTTAGTCATATTTCTAATACTTTCTTAAGTTATCAATTATTAAAGTTATCAATAACCAGTTAGTCGTAAGTTATCAATTATTTAAGTTATCAATTATTATAATTTTTTACAATTTACTATGATCTTTCAACTATTAAATAAGATCCCAACGAATTTATTAAAAATTGACTAAAAACTTTGGAGAATTAAAGATAATTATAAAATGTTTTCATAAGAAACTATATTGCTAACCATAACTACAGTACAATATCCCATATCCGATTGAACATTTGTTTACCAGAAAGGTCTATTTTCTGGACACTTTTTAACAATTGAGATAAACCAATCACTTTTTCTTTTACAAGGCAAAAAAAAAAAAAAATCTTAATGCTTGCTATCTGATAAAAGAAAGGTATAAGTAATAAAATATTTTTTTTTTTATTTATTTTTATTTTTAATTTCTTTTTACTGTTTTTTTGATAGCTAAAGATTTATTCTGCTTCAATAAGCACACTAAAACAGGTGAAAAGATTAGAGCAGTTAAAGAAAAACATTCTTGAAGAAGAAAAAAAAAACTATAAATATAAATGAAGCTGAATATTAGTAATGTTTGAAATTGTTATTTAAATTATTTGCTCGGACCCTAGAATTTTATTTAGAAATAACATTAAAAAATCATAGAAAAGTTTGCATTTTAGGTTGTGTAATAAGAAGTTTTCATATGATTACAGTAAAAAATTGTCCCTGAAGGAATCCTCTGCTGCATTTACCATTGATTTGTCAGCCAAACCCTGTCACCCCTGAGTTATAATTTTTGTATTTGATAGGTTGGAATCATATGCTGCTTTTAATAAAACAATGAAAAATATTTGATTTTTTATTTCAAAACAATGAATTAATTAAGCTAGTGAAAAATTTTTGATTTAATGAAAAAAGGGCAATAACTAACCAATTTTGTTTATCTTTTCTGTTTGAGACAATTTATGTAATTTATATTTTTGCATATTTTGAATTATTTCTCTGGTTCTTTCAACCTTGAATTATCCAAGTTTGACTGTATATTTCCAGAAATGAAAAGAATTTTTTTTATTTTTTATTATTACATTGTTTCTGTATATTCATCAGTGGTTATGCTCAAAAATGTTTTTAAAACTCTCTCTGTTTATTTTCTTCCAACAGTTGCGTTTTGCTACTCAAAGATTTTAACAACTTATTTAATGATTTTACAGTCTTAATTTAATTATATAACTATCATCTTTTATTCTTAACCATATGAAATAAATTCCCTAATATAGAAAAAAAAAGATTGTTATTTTTAAATATATCTTATGTCTAGAATTATCTTAATTATCTAGAATTTTGTTACATCTTTGTTTCTAGCATTTAAAAAGAGGCTTTAAAACTTACAGGTTTGCATGAAATTCTGCAGAATCTGACATTTGTAGGTTGTGTTGATCAAAAGTATGCTTTATTTCAACACAACACTAAGCTTTATCTGGCAAATACTCATGAAATAAGGTAATACTTATTTGAAATGTTGTTTTTCAATTGGAATTGAAAATTCTAAATTAGTGTAGCTAAAATCCTTTCACAAATTTTTTTTCCAGCAAAGAACTTTTTTATCAAATTATGCTGAAAGATTTTGGAAATTTCGGTGCACTTCGTCTTTCTGTAAGTAGTTTATATGTCCTTAAACCTTTTTGCAAGTTTTCTAAAATGGACCATATATTTATACATTACAACCAGAAATTTATGTGTTACAACAGGGTTCCCATGGGTCAGGAAGAACCTGAAATTGTCAGGGAATTTTATTTTAACACGAAATATCAGGGAAAATTGCAATTTTTTTACTAAACCTGGAATATTCCTATATCATACCTGAAAAATAACCAATCTTAAAGTTGTCAGTAACAGTAATTAGTTATTGAGATTCGAGTTAAATAATTCTAACATCTATTTCAATTATTTGTTACAAAACTTTCATATTTTAGTCAAACTGAAATGTTCCCTTCCTCATTTAATAATATTTTTTTGTATAGAAAATCTAATATTTCACATTACAAATAAAAGAATCGAAGTTTTCTGATAAAAATATGGTCTCAATTTTCTTTGAAATTTACTTGGAAAAGTCAAGAAATTTTTTTCCTTCTCAAATTGAGTGGAAACTCTGTTACAACCAGCTGTATTGCAAAATTTTTTTCTCATTGTAACTGCCGTGGGAAAGTTTATTATTGAAAGTTATGCATTTTAAATAATCATGGTCGAAGCATTTAGAAATAGTGTTGCTTGTATCTCTAAAAAAAATAATCGTATTTCACTATTTAATTATTTTAATCTTCAAAAAGTGCTATTGAAAAGGTGCTGTTAGTATCTATGTAAAAGACCATAACTATTTCCATATTTAATTATTTGTGTCTTGAAAAAGTGTAATTAAAAGGGACCTTTTTTTATTTACAAAAAATCATTTTATTTCGTCATCTGGATGTTTGTATCTTCAAAAAGTAAAGGTGCTACTTTTAACTATACATAAGCTTATTCTATTTTCCTGTGATTGTTCCTATCTTAAAGCGAATTAAATTTAACACTTATTTCATTTTTAAATGTCTGAAATTTTGAATATATATATATACATATATATAAATAAGTTCAAAATGAAGAATAAAATAAAGAAAAATAATAGACATATGAAAAAAAGGGGGGAAAATAATAAGTAAAAAAATAACAAACAACAGTTTAAAAAAAAAGGATGAAATTTTATTTAAAAAACCGGAAAAAAAGATATAATCTTTTCTTCAGCCCACACAATTATATCCGCAAAACAGAGTGCTTTCCGATATTGTATCAATAAAGCNTATATATATATATATCAAAATTTACTGATTTAACTACAGTTTTTTATTTATATATACACACTGTATTCAAGTGATAAGAAAAATGGGCAGATTGAACTTCATAAAAAAAATTGTGTCAAGAATTTTTTTTTAATAAAAGTACTTTTAGATGTGATTTAATCAAAAAAATTTTAATACCCATTTTTCTACATATTTAGGAGTTCAAAGAACTGTAAAATGGAAAAAATTAATGGTTTAAGAATTAGCATTAATTAATTATTAATTAACATGAAATATCAAATATTGCATTTTAAAACTGTAGGTTGCACCTAAGATAGTAATGTGGCAATATGAATATTTGATATAAAATTATTCAAGATATATTTTTGAGAAAATGGAACCCTGTGGGGGCTAGAATATTGATGTTGTCAACCTTCATCTATCAAAAGGTAACCCAAGATAGAACCGAGTTATTCTGTCTTATATGCTCGATATACCAAATAGCGGGAAAAAGAATGTTTCATAATTTTACCTCACTCAGTTGTTGTGTGGACTTGGAACTAATAAATTAAGGGTGAAACATTTAGACATCTCCCAAATCAGTTAGAACTTGCCACATTTTACTGGAATCGGAGATGAACTTAGAAAGAATTATATCTCGAAAACATTGAAACACTCCACACACATTAATCGATACACGTACACTATTTATTTTCTGAAGCTCAATGAACAATTAAATTGGGATGTGCAAAGTGCCATCTGTGAACTGTAGGATTAAACAACACTAGTGAATTGTAATATTCCAGTGATATTTACACTACATTACTGCCCCACCACAATTTTATCTGAAATAAAATTTTATGAATGGATATTACTAGTTGATTCATTGCCGATTTGCAAAAGATCGGGAGAGCTGTATTAAGTTCCCCGGATTTTGAGTGCTGGTCGTCAGAGCTGTATTTAGTTCATGGCTGTGTACATGGTCGCTCCTGATTTTGCTATTAGCAGTCGAGTGTGTATAAGCTCCAGTGGTATGTGATCGAGACTGAATATCAACAGGGCAAGGAACGTGTCGCAGTCACAGATAGCAAGTCAACTGTTCAATGTGTGCCATCCACTGAAGTAGGCGTGTTTAAATCAAAACAGGCGTTACTCTTAAAATATGGATGATCATATCAAATCTGAAGGTCATCAATGTGGGGGGAGTATGCTATTGCCTATGCAAACCTATGAAAAGGTACCCCGGGATAGAATTGTAACATGTCATATTTACTTGCAAATTGGAATTGATTAATTGTAGTGGTAGACACCCTACAGTTAATATTATGTATTTAACACTATAATATTACTATTCCAATTCACTAGTATCTAAGACGTGCTAGATCGATTTTATCTTGGGGTTCCTTTTGGTAGATGAACGTTGACAACACTGGTATTCTAGCCACCACAAACCCTTGAGGAGATATACCTCTTAAATAGGTTATTATGAAATGGGTCAGAGTATAAATACTTCACCTCCAAACAAGATGACCCAGGTTCGAATATTGAAATTAACTGGTCAATTTTGACCACAATTATAACATGAAATATCCCTAGTGTCATGGATTATGAGTATCTTCTTGCTGTGGAGCGAACCATGGGAGGTTTTTCTCTTTATGAAATACAAATACTTGTTACTTTCAGTAAAAAATTCCTCTGGGAAGGCAAGTTCTTGCTACAATGCTAAAACGAGGAAATCTCTTTTCTTTTGTTTGGATTTAAAATTACAAGGCTAAGGTTGAACATTGGTAGAATCAAATTCTATATAGATTGGCTGTCTTAACAATGATGGTTTTTAAAGAGATTGTTATAGTTCTGTAGTTTTATGTAGCAGAAGTGGGTAGTTTTTGTAAAAGAATAAATAATTTTTTTTAAAAATAAGTATGTAGGTACACTTATTTAAAAAATAATAAATATAATAATAATGTATGGTAATAAATATTTTCAGAATCCAGCACCGATTTCTGAGTTAGCTATGTTGGCTTTGGACAACGAAGAGAATGGGTGGACAGTGGCAGATGGACCTAAAGAGGATTTGGCTAAATATGTTGTGAATCTCTTGAAGTCAAAGGCACCCATGTTGGATGAATATTTCTCTATCGAAATTGATGAGGTAATTACAAATTATATTTAAATTTTTTATTCATATTTGTAATAATTGATGTTTACTTACAATCCATCAAATTTGTATTAATTATATATTTTGAGGCTCAGCTATTAAATAGTATGTGAAAATTCTCACTTTAATAAGAAACCTAAACTGTCAGTCAAGATTTTTAATTTTGAAATATTAGTACCTGCCATAAGTATATATAAAAAAAAATACATTTAACAAAGTGAGCAACATTTTGAAAATTTCAAGCCCAAGTTGAGTTGATTTTCTTTTTCAATTATTTTTTCTTTCAAATTTGGGGGCCACTCATTACCCATTCAAATGCTGTAACACCCATTCAAATGCTGTAACACCAAATGCTGTACCCATTCAAATGCTGTATAAACACTTGTAATATTATAAAATACTCTATCGTTTTTATAGGACTACATACATTTGGGAGAGCACCAAATATTGAAATAAAAACAAAGAGATTTACAAAGGTATAGCTACAGTAGCAGTGTTTTATGGCATAAAAAATGGCATTAGAAAAACAAAATCTGGAAACTTTTGAAATAAATACTCAAGCTATATTTATTAAAATTTCTGGCCTTACAATTAAAAATTGTTTAAAAGAAGCTAAATCAAAAGAATAGAGGAAGAAGTCGTAAATCAGTGACCCAAGCAAAAAATTTTACATTTACATAGGTGCCAGATAAAAAGATTTAAAAGGGACCCGGACTTACTTTTCAATGCATGATTATATCAGGTTGGAAAGAAGCTAAATCTATTGCCCAGGATGTGATAGGGTTGAGTGACATGATATCGAGGTTTTATGTGCCCAAAGATGGTAAGTAAGTAAATCATGCTCTCTTTACATATAAATCAAAAGCAACTGTTTAATGTTAGGCAGGAAATGTGCATTTTTAAATATTCTAGCCAAACTGGAACTTTTGCTTGCACTTCATGAAAATAAAAACAATTTTTAAAAATGTTAGTAGATAAAGTATTAAAAACACTTTGGTGACAGAAACCATAAAATAATGCAAAACTTAAAAAAACAAGCATTTATTGCAATAATAATAATACAAATCTTTCAACAAAAAATTAGTACTTTTTAAGCACTCAAAAAATATTTTTAAGCACTATATACTTTAACAGAAGGCAAAATAATTTTCAGACTTTATATGATCATGATGAAATAACTAGTTTCTGACAAAAAAACTCTTTTCTTTATCATATTAGCCATTATAAAATGATCGAGAGATTTTTCGATTCGATATCAGAGGGTGAAAAATGAAGCCTGAAATAGAGAATATCTAGCAAAATGCAGCAGTTGCACATGAGAGTGCAATAATCTCACCAAACCCAGCTCAGTATCTGCACATGCAGACTCGCAAGTATTTCATCAAACATGCAAAATGATTGACGCTTTCATACGCTATGGACCGACGGTACACCGAAATAAATTGTGGTTGAATGAATTGTGAAAACTTTGAACAATGTGAAAAGCATGCTTTTGTATAATATGTGGCGAAAATCGACATAGTAAAAAAAAATTCTTATTTTCGAAAAGGGAAAATTGAGCACTTTTTAAAAACACCCAACAAAAAAAGCACATTAAAGGGCTTTTAAAAACAAAAATTTAAAATAAGCACCTTTAAGTACTTTTTAAAAATGCTACGAACCATGTAATATTATATCAAAATAAGGTTTCCAGCAGAAATAGTTTTATGGGTGGAAAGTGGGTGACTCAGCCTTTTTTGTTGTAAAAAAAAGAATGAAATTGCATCGTTTGATTTCAAAACACTTCTACATGTTGCTGAATTGAGACACAACGATCTAACCGTACAAACCTCAACTTAAAACACTGAAACTTACTCATTAGCCTTAAGTATTTTATCGTCAATTGCTAAAGGAAATCCTGCGCCCTGGTTTTTTGGGTTATCTCTATTGAAGAGAAAAATAAAATTTGACAGTTTTTGAATGGCTTATCAAAATGTTTCTGAACTGTTGCATTCATGGGATAGGGTGCCTGCCATATTTTTTTTGACAGTTCAACGAACTCAACAGTCTGGTAAGTTCAACAGTTTTCTGTTAAACGAGAATTTATTGATCATCCTGTACTGTTAGCAGATAATTTATGTTACTAATTTGTTTTAAATGAATGGCTTATTTAATTTGATCCTACAGGAGGGGAATTTATTGACCTTGCCTTTACTTTTGGATAACTATGATCCACTAATGATGAATTTGCCAAATTTGATTCTTCGATTAGCCTCTGATGTAGATTGGTCTTCAGAAAAAGAATGTTTCAATTCATTCTGTCGTGAAATGGCTTCTTTCTTTGCAGTACCTAATGAACGTATGTTTTTAGAGAAATCAGCTAATAGCGAGGTAAATATAAAATTTTCCACTATATTGTTTATTTATTTACTTTTAACCTTTGATTTCATACAATTTTAATTCAATTTCTTATCAAGTTATTCAAAAAAAGCAATAAACGCCAAATTAAATTATTAAAAATAAGAGAGATATATATCTCTAGGGCTATTATGAATAATTTGTAACCCTGTATTATTAAAAAGATAGGTTAGTTTTGTAGTTTTATTGGAAACCATAAATGTTGAAATATTTTTCATGAAAATAATATTAGATGTTTAAATGAAGAAATATAGGGTGGTATTTGTTTGGCTGACTCAGATATTCATTAAAAAAAACAAAATAAATAAAAGAACAGAAAATAGCAATTTTGCAAATTTGAAATATTGTTGGTACGAATGATAGTCAGTTGTGTAACTTATTTTGTTTATAATTAAGCTAAATTTATATAAAGTACCTAAGTAAAGTGATTTATTGTAAAATTTTACTTTAAAATTATCTGTTAACTTTATATGTGTTATAGCTCTATGGGATTCAAAAAAAGTATTTTTGAATTTTGTTTCAATACATATTTTCCACATGGATTTATGTATCTATCTGAAAACAGTTATATATTTTCAAAACAGATCTTTTCCTTAGAAAAAGTTTAATCTTAGGTAGAGCTTTAATTTATTTAGAATAACTGGTAATATACCAAGTAAAAATAGGAATCTTTTACCTTTTTCACTTGATTCTAGTCCAAGCCTTCAAATGATTTAAATCTCAGTAACACAATATATTCTCGCAAAAAATGTTTTGGTTACAAATGCATTTACAGTAAAATTAAAGTTGCTAACTTTTTAAAACTTATTTGTGCTCATCATGTATCAAATATGGGCAGATCAGATTAAGCAGTTTTTATTTTAATTTATAACTTATGTTATGTTTGGATTTTTTGAGTTTTAAAATCAGAAAATTCTTTCCAATTATTTGAAGGTATTGATTAAAAAGTAAAATTTATTGAAATAATAGGAGGCTACACACATCAAATGGAATCAATAAATTTTGTTTAAAAAAATTTTTTTTTACTATTTAAACAATTTGTAAAACATTTAACTTTTGTTTAAAAAAAATATATAGTTTTGGCAGGAATTTAAAGCAAAGGTAAACTTTAAACACAACTTCTCATGAGATACCAAAATTCCAATACTCTTTTCAATACTTCTTTTGTATTCTCTTTTCTCGGTAATAATTCAAATTTAATAAATATGATGTAACAAATGTATTAATATTTAATAATAAAATTTATTTTGATAAATATTCATTTGAAGTACTCTTTTAATTTTAAAGTAGTGAATAATATTTCAATAAAAAAAAATTATTATCTTTTCTTTTTTTTTTCTGCAAAAATATTCCTAACTTTCATTTTTCGTTAACATTTATAAAAATAAAGTGTTGTACAAACAATAAATTTTATTTTATTTTAAAAAGACGACTAAATGCTTTTTCTTTTTTGTTTTAAATAATTGAATAAAAAAAATTTTTGGTTTATTTTAGGAGTCTTCCGACAGATCATTAACAAAATGGACTGTTGAACATGTAATTTATGCAAATGTTAAATCCCAACTTCGACCACCAAATAAGTTTTCTACTGATACTTCGATCTTACAAATTGCCAATCTACCTGATTTATATAAGGTCTTTGAAAGGTGCTGAAAACGATTCTTAGTAATGAAAGTGTAAATAATCTTAAACAGAAACTATTCCTGGTAATGAAAGTGTAAATAATGTAAATAAACTTATACAAAAACACCAGTTCATAGTTTTTGTTTTATTTTTATGATTGCAAAATTAGTTTAGCTCCAAAAATAAGAATAAGCTTGTGTAGCAAACTGAGATCAGAAAATCATTGAAAAATCAAATAGTGCAAGTGAAACAAAATTAGATTTCTTTTAACAAATGCTGGTAATATGAAATTACAAGAAGGCAACAATTATTGTAAAGGCACAGTAAGAATAGGAAAATGCATACATTAACATCACAGATTGTTAAATAATATACACATTAAGTCCATAATTTTGTTATCAATATTAGTATATAATCTTACCTTAAAATAAATTATATACTCAGTATTTATTATAGTTAAACAACTAACCCCCTAAACTTTAAACAAGTTTAAATTGAGTTTTCGCTTCTATGTATCATTCCTTTCTAATAAAATGAGGATATAATGATTTGCTCTGCAGGTATAAAATTTGATAGTGGGTTAAAGTAATATATTTTTTGAGCAAAAAAGTCTTAAAAAATACTTCAATTTCATTTCATTGGTAAGAAAACGTTTAAGTGCAACTTTATTTAGTAGTTTTTTTATGTGTGATTACGCAAAAAATTTTTAAATTTTTTTAATTTAAAGTAATCATTTGTATTATAAAAAATGTGTTTGAGGTCAGTTGCTTCAGAAATATTTTATAGATACATATTTTGGTGAATAGCATTATGAATTGATAGGAACTCATAAAAAATATTTAAGGATGGTATTCTCCAAAAAGTGTCTATACATGTTTTAAAACATAAATAGCCAAAATTTATAGAGTTAAAATTTAGGTAATTATTTCATTAATAAAATTTTCTAGCATAATGAGTCTGTTCACACTTTTTCTCACAAATCCAATATTGGCAGAGATAAGCACAACTAAATGTGCTAGATTTATTTAGTTTTAAGAAGATTATTAATGTTAACAATAAATTCTATAACAGTATTTATATACCATATTTAAAAAGATAAATTATTATTACATAAGAAGAGGGAAATAGATTTTTGCTGAAATTTTTAATACAACTATGAATGATCATTTTATTGTGTTTTAAATTAAAAGTGGATCAATGTATCTTTAAATATAGATCCACATGGCAGCAAACAACTCAAAATGATTAACGAAACAGCTTTTTCTAGCCAGGCTAGTCTGATCTTATGCCTAATCCATTAAAGTTCTTTTCTAGTACATTAGAAGTATAATAGCTTTAGTGTTATATTTTGGAAAATAAGATAATGTCACTTAATATACACTTACACTAAAAACAACTGAAATATTTTTGAACATTTAATTGTACTTGATTTATATAAAGTATGAAGAATAACTTTTTAGAATTAAATATGCTATATATTTATATGTACAATAAACTCCTGATTATCTGCAGGTGGATTATCCACTTCACTTTTCTTTTGGCAATGATAAACAATGTAGCATTTATAATGGAAAATAAATTAATAAAGATGGAACTATTTTAAGAGTTTTAAAAACAATATACTACCATGTTTATGTTCATAGCCCAAGTGTTCACAACTGACCAAATAATTGGTCTACATATAAACTTTGCAGCTTCAAGTGCAATACCCAAGTATAAAGGAAGCATTGAAAGAGTGAAAATGGCTAGGCATTTATGAAGTATTGTTTCAAAGCAATGATATTGATAGCAAGAAAAGAATTTTAGTTTTTTCCTTCTTGCCTTCATATGATGAATTATCCTCAATCATTTATTTAGTAAACTTGTAACACATTCTGGGAACTCTTATCAGTTATAAAAATGACAACTAACAAATGAGGATGGTTCCCACACAACACTTATACCCCTAAAAGGAAAAGAATGAAGCAAGGCCTTGAATAATTTATGGGCCATACAAGATTTCAGAATTGTAGTCCGTTGTTTAGTTTTGTTACTGATAAGCTTTTAAAAATCCTGAATGTGCAGTAACTCTTTATAAAAAGTAATTTACATGTTTCAAACATTGTTTTGCACATTCCCCCCTTTCCCCATTAGTGTATGAACTCTGTAGCGTTAAAAGTCAATTTTATTTTAGCTTCCTGCTCTCCAACACCAAGAAACAAAAAAAAAAGTGGGCAGGCTTTTACATACAGAAATGAATAAAAATTATGTGAACAAAACTGCTAATAATAGATATTGAAGTTTATCATTTGTATTAAAAAAAATTGATGATGGATGTCTTTTTAAGCATTTTGCGGATTATCCTAAAATTTGTGGTTCGTGGGCCACTCAATTCCGCATATTATCAAGAGTTAACTGTATATATATATACATACATATAATTTTTATTAATTATTTTCTTTGTAGATCAAATCCTAATAATTTAAATTCTCTTAATTAATAAACACAAAAAAACAGTTATAAAAATTATGTTGAGATTCATTGCTAATACAAAAGCATATAATGTGGCACATAAAAAGTTTAATCAATATTATGATTAAAATGAATAAAGAAAAACATCAGTGGAACAACTTTAAATCTTCAGAAATATCAATTCGCATTTTATACATAACCAACAACACTCTTATTACTAGCTTTAAAATTCATAACTAACTCTGATCACAGATTCCTTCATCACAATTACACAAGGCAAGCAGTATTGTCGATCTCTTATTATATGCACACCATTTAACATTTTTAACTAAGATATTAACTTACATATCTTTAAACTTAATTACTCTGAGGAATAATTTTTAACACTTTTTCTGATGAGTTCTATTTTTGAACTGTTATAGAGTTTTTGTCTAGACTAGTTTACTTACTCCTGAGATTGATTCAGTTATGCCTGAAATAAGTAGAGGGAGCTTAAAAAGTTGATGTAATAGTCAAAACTTAAACCTTTGGATTGAGAAACTTAAAGCAAGTCGCAGATCTAAAAAAAAAAAAAATTGCTTTACTTTCTTAACATTTTAATTCAAATATCTAATTTGTTAAATTTAAAAAAAAAAAATTGACAAAAAGTATTAAAAAAGTAAAATAGAAATATTGAATAAAATTATAATAGATCTCAAACCCAGTTTAAAAACTCTTAAAACCATTTTCATATATATCATACAGTAGAAATTCTTTTACCTGGCCTAATCTAGACAGAACTAATAAGAGGTACCAAGAGCCTGATGTGCATAACTTCAAAAGATAAATTAAAAAATACAGTATTTCGTGCTTATAATTTGTAATTGACAAACGAAAAAAAGGGGTAATACAATTAAAAAGCGGCATCAAACTGTTAATAAAGATTAAAAATTTCCTCATTTTTTATATACAGCGCCACTTGTAAACATTCAATATATTGCCTTGAAATACCTAATTTCCGAATCAGTAAAAATTCTGTTTCTTTCTTTAAAATGTGTGTATATATATATATCTCCCAATAATCCAAACCTCTAATCACTGATAGTTTATTGTAGGTGGTAAAATACATGATATTGGATGAATTTATTCAAAATATTTGAGAGATAAGAGTATTTAAATACCCTTTTGAAATTATAAACAATTTTAAAAAGCAACATTAAATCCACAATGTTTATAATTATTGTCGGATGGATTCGTACAAGGAATATGAAGTTGAGATTAAGACATTGTTTTGAGATAGGTGGATGTTTTATTTATTTAATTAATTAATAATTAGGTAGGATCTTTAATTTACTTTGGGAACTCATTTTGTGACATAGGCATCTAAATTCATAAACGTATTTGAACAAAATCACTTGATTAATTCAGGCTGCAAATATTAAAAAAAGGAATATTTTTTACTCTTTCAATTGATTAAAAGTTTCAATATCAAAGCAAAAGCATTTTTATTTTTTATTCAGTACATTTTTTTAACATAAAAAATAATAACAATTTCATGCTTCAAATATTTTGTTGAAGGAACAGTCAGGAACAATTATGGTTTTGCCTATAAGCATGATATACATTTTGAAAATGTGTTAAAATATCCTACAAACTTTTCCAAAAAAACCAAAAAGTTAACTCATTACATTTGTTGCTTAAAAAAGTTTATAATAAAATCTGTCTAAAATTTTTGATGCTTAAAAATTAAGATTAAAATTAATTCAGCTGAAGACATTTTGATTTGGCAGTATATCAATGAGTTAAATCTTGTCTCAGCTTGTATTAAATATTCTACATGTAGAATCAATGCATTTCAAAAAACTTTTTGATGTAGTTATTTTGCTGAAAATGTCAGAAATTAAAGTTACACTAAATTACACAGCTTTCTTAATTGATCTAATACAGCCTTTGCTAAATCAAGCAGCAGCGTAGCATAAAGAATTGTACAGCATAATCTCAGTAAAAATAATCAGTTCTAAACATGGTTGAAAAGGAAATGATAGAAAAAAAAAGTAATGTTTAATGCAGAACATTTGTAAAATATTTTATTTTCTATTATGATAAACAGAATTCTCATAATCGTAACTATATCCTGCATTTATGATGACATTGGTCCCAGTATAAAAGGGAAAAAAATATTGAATAGCAAAAAAAAAAAAAAAAAAAAAAAAAAAAAAAAAAAAAAAAAANAATACTAATTGATTATTCACATGCTTAACTTTACCAATAAAAACAATAATTGTATAAATTAATAAAAAAAAAAGTTATGTAATTAACTACGCAAACATAAATAAATTAAAATTTCTACTACAAGATATCACAGAAATGACACTATTAGCTAAAAAAAAATAAAAAACTCTCAGCGTTAAAATAATTTTCTATAAACCAAAAACAGGTATATTCCACTATGAATATGACAGGCACTAATGGTAATATAAGAAACATAATAACAGGTATAAATTCAAATCTTTAGTGTGAACACTAAAATATTTTTAACTGCAAAAAATAAATAAAAATGAGTAAGTTTACAAGAAGCAACTTTGTAAAATATGAAGTTTAAACTGAGTTAGAGATAAGCTAAAAACCTACTTATCTAAATTTTATATTATCTATACATAGATGTTAATAGGCTGATTTGTAAGCTTTGAAAATAATTACTATATACAATGATTACAACAATAAAAGCATTTGCATTTTATAAGTTTTTAATAAATTAATTTCACTGCGAATAAATAATCTTAGTTCATCATTTTGATTTGCATAGGAATAATTTTCAATCAATGCTGTCGAAGACTTCAGCCATAATTTATCTCTATACAATTCTGACATGAACACAGACACAAATTATTGCCACTTTACATAATCCACAGAAATAATTGCATCCTACAGAATGTTTCATTTTAACTGGATGGAGGTATTCTCTGCGAATGCAGTATTTTCATGCTCTGCAAAAATAATAAAATTGGAAAATAAATAAAAATAATTTATACAATTTTAAATATAAAGTTTTAAAAAAATAAGCAAAAAAGAATAAAATTGAAAAAGAAAAAGTTTAAAAATTTTTTTTAAATGCATAAAGTCTGCATTATAAATTATTTTTACCATAAGCATATGATAAGTCATTTAAAAGTTTTTTGTATAAAATTTTCTTTAAATTTTAAACACCTATACTAGTAGTCATCATTTTCTAAACATTATTTTACTTAAAATAACACTGAACTAAACTAAAGAGAAAAAAAATAATTAAGGAAAGCATACAAGGTTTCATGGAAGTTAAGGCTATACAATTTCACAACTAATGGAATGATGATGGCAAACTAGTATCCATAGATCAGAAGCTTGGTTGGCTTTAAGACACCAGTGGGGATTGAACCCCAGTCCTTCACGTTGTCAATTAAGTGCCTAAATCACTATGTCATCAATGCTTATAACTATATTAAAATGATGCTCATTAAGAAATTTTCAAAAATAGTTTTTCGTATCAAATTCCAAAGAAAAAAAAAGATTTTTTTAATTTTACAATTTGGAATATATATTGCAAAGGTTTTTTTTTCCTTTTAAATATTAACAAAAGTAAAAAAAAATATTTTGCACACACACACACACACACACACACACACACACACATATATATATATATATATATATATATGGATAGATAGATATATACNATAAAGGTGCCAGCGTAGAGATAAAAGCAAGTCTATTTATTTATTTTTTTTTTAAGTGATAGATATTTATATACGTTATATTACACATTAAATATGTCTAGAAAACTTATTTCCTTAAAATATAGTATTATAATTCTATTAAATAGCAAAGAAAAATTTAATAATTAATGGCAGGCTATACTGAAAGATAACTCTTGATTACTTATCTTGCTATTTACCTGATATTCTTCTTCTGTTTCTAAAACCCCATCAACATAGACTAGTTGATATTGACGAGCTTTAAGTGCTGATATAGGCCGTTTTATAAGTCTTATGGCATTTGAAACTGAAGATGTACTATTGAACTGTTCCATTTGGGATTTACTATGACTAGGATCTAAAACAAGTAATTGTAAACTACCATCTTGAAGTTCTTCTATTCCAATGATTGTTCTACTATGACCTAAAAGAATTTTAATGAGAAACTAAGATGAACAGAAGTCTTAAAAAATTTAAATTAATCACAATAGAAAACTAATGAAAATGTTTTAGATTACAAAAGACACACATAATTCTTAAAAAATATGTGGAAAAAAAATTTATAATTTTCTCATCATGAAGAACATTTTTTAATAAAGAGAAAAAATATAAATGCAAAAAAAACTAATAATGGAATTCTTTTAAAAGTATTAAAGAATGACAGAGAAAATTAAAATCAGCTGAGTGTTTTTAAAATAATCATACTATTATGATACTGACTGAAATTTGCATTAAAAGCAAAATGTATTTAAGAAAAAAAATCTAAGTTAATCTAAGATATGATTAAGTACTATTCTTTATAACTTTTTTAAGCTAATAAAAGTACTTATAAAAAAAATATCATTTTTAAAAAAATTTATTGTAATGTAAGGAAACTTCAATACACTGTGAAACCTCCAGGAAAGATCACCTCTATGTAGTGACCACCTCAATATTTATGACAACTTTAGTGCGACATGGAATTTTTTTCCATAGACTTTGTGAAGAAAACCTTAGGAGAAACCAAAAAAATCTCTCCCAGCGATCAAGAAAACATTTGCACCGAATGCAGAAATGGTTAAATAATGAAACATGAAAAAATATCAGAACAAAACAAATAAGTAGATTAAAATGTATTCAAAATATTTGAGTGAGACTCTTATTTAGAGAACTCTTTTTGATGACGCAACCTCATGTTGCAGCCAGAGTGCGCTAAAGACGATGATTTACTTTTAAAGTTGAAAATTAAATTATAAAAAAACGTTATTTTAGAAAGAACAAGCATCTCAAATAAACAAACCTCTTTGAACTTTTTAAAGCTAACTAAATTAAATGCAAACTTAAACAAAAAACATAATTGTTTATTTATTTAAAATAGCTTTATCATTCATAATTGGTAAATTCGTTTTTAGACAAAATTATACCAGTTTAGATCTTTTTTATAGACACTAAATTTTATTCATTGATCTGTCTTGTCATGCACATTTCGCATTTCTGTACCAAGAAAATTACACAGACTAAAATAAAAATAGTTTCCAAAAAATCATGTACCTTGTATAACAATTTTGAAGTCAATGGAGTTAACCTCTAAGAATGACCAACCTCCAACAACGACCATTTTACAGTGGTACAGAGAGTGGTCTTTCCTGAGAGGTTTCACTGTATATATATAATTTTTCTTAATACCTTTCTTTGTTGATCAAATCCTAATAATTTAAATTCTTTTAGTTAATAAACACAAAAAAGTGTCAGCTATAAAAATTATATTCACATTCATTGCTAATACAAAAACATAAAATGTGGCACATAAAAATTTTAATTAGTATTATGATTAAAATGCATAAAGAAAAACAGCAGTAGAACAACTTTAAACTTTCAGTAATATCAGTTAGCATTTTATGCATAACCAACACTTTTATTACTAGCTTTGAATTCATAACAAACTCAGATCACAGATTCTTTTATCACAATAACACGAAGCAAGCAGTATTGTCTATCTCTTTTTATATGCACATTATTTAACATTTTTAGCTAAGATACCAACCAAAACTAATGGTGGTCGTTCTTGAGAGGTTTGACTCTATAAAATATTGTTTTGCATATTGCATCGGGTAGCGAATTTGATTTTCAGTGGAAGTAGTCTTAAAGGATCAGCCAAAAAGAAAAAGAGTGCAGGTTTAACATCAGGCTAACCAAAAGGGCCACTAAAACATCTATTATAACTAATAAGTCAGAGATTTATTTACACTTTTACTTTATTTTTCTAGCCATATTTTTTAGGGGGTTGTTCAATTTTTGTGTGGATATTTTTAGTGATGAACACCTCTTTAACACAAATTTTAACAGAAAATTATTAAAACAATAGGTTTATCTGAAGCTTGCTGAGCTTCAAATGAATGAGATAAATTTAAACATGTTCATTTATATTGAATCTTTTCATTCCCAAATTCCATTGCAATGTAATGTAGTTGCTAACAATGCAAACAAAAGAAAATAAACCCCACAGGTGATATTGCTTTCTCACACAATCAATTAACTATTTGAGTGTTGTAAATGCATTTCAAGAAAAAGGGTAAGAAACTGTAACATCTTTGGAGGATAGTTTTTTTCTTCTGCTATAAAAGAGGCATTTTTAAGACATAGAGTTAAAAGGTGGAATAATATTCCACATGAAATTGACAACAAAATGGTAAAGTGTATATACCGGTTAAGACTTAGGACCATATAAAAAAACTGATGATTTGGTGATTTGACAGTAGCTAGATATTAAAAAATAAAAATTTAAAAAAATTCCATCATAGTATGAGGGCATTAATTAAACATTTTAAATAGAAAAAGTACCATGATGTTGTAAATATACAGGTGGTTTAAACTCTTCTTCTTTCATAAAATATCCTTTAACCCAAGAAAACAGCTCAGGATGAGTACCATTTGGTCCTGTGGGTTCATGACAGTCGATAAGGCGACCTCTGAAAAGAAAAATAAGAATCTAAAATTTTAAGAAATCAAAAGAATTTTTAGAGAATGCACATGCATAGAATATCAGTTTTTATAAAATGTTGAAAACTAAAATTTTCCTTTGTAGCATAGAATTTTTACTTTGTAAGCAGCAACTCTTTTTTAAACAATGCTAATACTATAAAAATTGCAAACAAAAACTTTTTTTAATTATAACTTAATTAAGAAAAGGTAAATATATAAAAGAGTAATTTTTTGAAAACATTTAAAACCAACAGTTTATGATTTTTTATTAAGCAGTTTAAGCTAAGGTTTTAATAAATTAAGAAAGGATTACAGATTTTTAAATAGAAACTTAAATGAATCAAAACAGATTTTTAGAAAAAAATAATTACCATTTCATTGTTTATTCCCTACATTGGATGCAAATTGTATAAAATAGGTTTTCAACAAGGTTCACTAAGTCCAGCATAGATTTTAGAAAACACACTTTTCCATTTTAATTGATAGATTGAGTTTTAAATTATTTTTTTTGTTGCTATAAATATGTGCTCTTTCAATTTCATCTTGTCTAATATTTTATAATGGCCTATAAGCATGAAATTTTTCACAAGACTAAAATAAGTCGATTTTGAAAAACTAACTAATCAAACACTTCGTAAAGAGCATATAATTTTAAATTGATTTAATTGTAATCGTACAACTTTGTTTTAAAGATTTTTAAAGCCGTCTACAGAATATTAAGAAAGAAACAATGCTTTAAAAACTATATCACAATTGATATAAAATAAAATTACTCTTCATTTCAAAGAAATTTCTAGTCAACATATCGCCTTTGGGAAAAAATCAATATCAGAACTACTGTATGTTTCTAAATATACGCAGAGAATTTTTAGAAATTTTTTAGGGGGGGGGACAGCTTATCATCGGATCCATTGACATTGAAAAATTTCAGAAGGACGTTACCAACAGAAATGTCTCTCCTCTTGTAGAGCATATTAAAATAAAAAGCATATTCTTCTGCTCATACACGGATGGGCTTACTTTCGGAAACTTATGGTAAAATATTTCAAAAATTATCAAAATAATAATGAGACATAAAAAAAGTAATAAACCTAGTAAGTTTATGTATAACATAAATAGTCTAAAATACTTTTACAAATTGTACAAGATGCATGTGATTTAAACAAATCACTAAAACATACTTTAATATAGTTTTATTTAAAACGAGAAGTAAGTTTTGAGAAGAAGTGAAGTCAGGAATTGAAATGTTGTTGTAATACAAATATAAATGCAGTTATTATGGTGTGCCTATGAGTCGCGTTAAACTCAAAAGATTAACAGAATAAGAAATAATTTCTTCACACGGATTCAAAAAAAAAATTTACTTTGAAAATTTATAAACAAACCTAATTCGGAAAGATGCAAGAAAAGTGACAACTTCGGTAGCCCCAATCCATTTTCTAGTATTTATCAAACGGCCACCAAGTTGCTCGCAGCCAGGAGGATCAAATCCCTGCCTCCACGCTCCTTCAATAAGCTCCTGAAGCTTTGATATTGAAGGCATAGCAAATCTACCTAAAATTAGTTAAAATACAAAATTTAAATAATTCAATTAATAAACAAACAAAAACTTAATTTATTTTTTAACTAAAATTTCAAGTCACATTATTAAAATTTACTCACCATTAAAAAGTCTAGTACTATATTTAGTGCTATTAATTAAAGATGAAAGCATCATTTGAATATTTCGATAACCACATCCCCAGCCTTTGTCACCATAGGTAGATCCATAATGATCAACAGCGGTACATAACCATAAATGTTCAACATTTGAAGAAGCCATACTGAAAGCTCTTATCTTAGGAATAAGACCTAAAAGGATTGAACAACACATATCAATCATTTTATTGTGTTTGACTGAGAATTAGATTATCTCATTTATTTCTCTCAAAATTATATTTATTTATTGGATGAAGCTCAAAATTACAAGAAACAAATTTAAGGAATACTACTTACATTGTTTTTACTACTAATAATCAAATTAAACATTGATAAAAATTACATTTATAAATAATTGGTGAAATTACAACGAAAGAAAAAAACTCAAGCTTAATAAAGAATATTCTAAGAAAAAATATAAATATAAATAAAATATAAAAAAGCATATTTTTCTTTATAGATTTTTTCACTTTTATTCTATAATTGTTCAATTATTTATGCAAGTAAAAGTTTAGAATGCCCTGAAATATCTAAACTGCATATTTGATCTCCTGATTTATGAAAAATGTTGGCTTTACAACATGAGTTTTAAAAGTAGTTAGTTGATCAGCATTAGTTATAACAAGAATTATTAAGAGAAGTTCTTTTAAAAATATGCATTTTTATCTAGTGAACATACAACTATAAAAAAATTTTATTTTAAGTTTCAAATGTATTTTACTACTCTTATTACACATTTATCAATCTTCTTTTTCAAAAAAAAAACATAACCATATTAAAAACTTTCTAAAACATAAAAATAAAACCAATAAAGAGTCACTGTAAACTATTTTATTAAACAACCTAATTAAGAATATCTAAACAAGACAATATGCTGGGAATTATATATTTTTGGGACTTTATCATCATGAAAGAGACTTTCGTAAGGCGAAAACAATTGTTGAAATATTTACAATTATAGTTTAAGTAATGTTGCCATTTTACTAACAAATTATTACTAACAAATTTATCTAGCCGTAGCATGTTAGCAGCCAATTCATTGAATGAAAATCATTTTTTATTATAATCTGAAGTTAATTTTAAATTAATGACTAGAGAAAAAAAAATATGTAATAAAATAAAATGAAAATTTGAAATGATGATTTGGTGATTTGANATTTTGAAAAAAAAAAAAAAAAAAACTATGCTTTTATTTGAAAAAAAAAAAACTCAATTTGAAAAAAAAAAAACTAAAAATAATATTATTGTGAGACCTACTAAAGAAAATGTAGGATGTTAGGAACATCACTTTCAAAGACAAGGAGGGAATTTTTGGTGGTGAGAGAAGTTTACACTATGAGAGTGATGAGCCCAAACTTTATCGTTTTAGTCAATAATAAAATTATTTAAACAAAATAAAAATAATATTTTCGTTTTTAATTTACTTGAAAAAAGTATTTTTTCTTTAAACGATTAGGTTTATTTTTAAAAGCAGCTACAATTTTGATTGGCGATAAAATTGCGATAAGCCATCCAAAAAATAATTTTAAGTCAAATTGGTATCACGAAAAGAGCTCCAATTAAAAATTGACAAAGATAGTTGGAAAGTAGGTAAAATTTTGATTGATGATAAATTCGATTTGGCAAAAAAAATTCTGCATGTAATAGGAACATCAGGATAACACATCAATCACATAAAGACAATAAAGATTTGAGTGCTCTAGCTAGTCAGAAAGTAGTTACATTTTTTATTACAAAATTTCACAAACACAACCGCAGATTAATAAAAGTATATTAAAAAGCAAAGCATTCCCGTAACAGTCTGCTATGAGCCAGGGGATCATAAAGGTTAAGGTTCCACAATTTCAAGACCAATGGCATGATTGTAGTAATCAACACTGTTCACAGGCCACCTTTACTTCTCAGACAAGCAGGTACCCATCGATATGAAGCTGGGTGGGCTTTAAGTCGCCACTGGGGGTCAAACTTCTGTTCCTCACACTGACAGTTCAGCACCTTACCCACTGAGCCGTAACGGCTCAACAAAAAAAGATTTTTTTTTCTAAAGCAGATTAAGTACAAATATTTTTTAAGCTAATTAAAGAAACATTGCTTGAACACAGAGTTAAAATAACATTGATAGAAAATTTTTTAAGATTTAATGCGTGTAAAAGCATTAAAATTATAACCTTTAGTGCAGGAGTGTCCATCATCTACACCATCCCTTTCAGCAATGCAAAGTTCTACTTGTCTATTATAATAATCAGCAACACTCATTTCACCAGCATAGACAGCTTTTTGCATGTTGGTAATAGACTGTTCCCTGAAATTCCCTTGATTGTCCATCCCGTATTGGGCTTGTAGCATTCGAAACTCTCTCTGTTCTCTCACTCGCTGTTCTTCCCTCTCTTTACGTTCGATCTCCAAAGCAAAGAGATGATCAGCACTACCTGCTTCTGTAAGTAAACAAAAAATTTGAAAATATGCTTGGAAAAAAAAATAATAAAGTTAAAATCCAGAAAGAAAGACAGTTAAATAGTCTGTCATACAATACATTAGTTTATTTTATAGAAAGATAAAAATTTGTGACAAGCAAAACAAATCAGTTAAAAAAAAATTACTTGATAAAATGTTTTTAAAAAGTCTTAAGAAAGAAATTTCTTTCAATTTGTAGCATCTTCTATATGCAGGATAATAAATTTAGAAAGTAAGACAGTTTTCAAAAACCACATTAGGATTTATTTTAAGCCATAGTTTCATTTTTTGTAATTTAAGCAGAGGCATAGCAGCCTTTGGAAACAAATTCAGTTTTTGCACCTGCTGACAAAACAAGATATATATAAATATATATTTGTATAGATGATATAATATTAGATTTAAAGGGCTTTATGGATGATTTTAAGTTTCAAATTATCCAGAACTGAATTCATTAATTAAAGTTCACGCTGAATAAGATTTCAAAATAAAGTTTTTAAATCGACATAGCTCAACAAAGTAAAAACGTTCATTAGATTCAGTTTAAAATTGAAAAGTATAGGTCACTAATGTAGTTTCTATCGCACTTGGATGCTTTTCATTGCGTTTAATATTTTTGATTGAATGATAAGCGACATTTTTCATTTAATGTGCCGCCAAACTGCAAAAAAAAGATAATAATCTTATGTGTAAAGCAACCTACAATAATAGATACATCCTGTCAATTTTTAGGTTAATTTGATAAAAAATTTAATAAATTATTGAGCTTGTAATTTGCAAATGAGATAAAGGAAGGGGAGTATTTAAAATATAAAAACATTTTATTCTAGAATAAATTTTTAATTAATTTTTATGAATTTGGTACTCCTCAAAGGCCGTGCCTGGTTACATATGACCCTTCTTCCCCTTCTGCTAGCCATGCTACGCAGTTTAAGAACTCAAGCTTGAACTGTTCTTATTTACTACAAATCACTTTATTCTGAGACACATAGTGGCTCAGGGGATAGAGCCGTCACCTTCTAATTAAGTGAACCAGGTTCGAATACCAGCATCGGCTGGTTGATACGAATTCCGCAACCGGCTGGCACCGACTACAGTGCTGAAGTAAAATATCCTCAAGGGTAGATGGATCACATGTTAGAGTCCCCTTGGTGTCAGGCCGTGGGAGGTACTTCTCTTCATGTAATATAAATACAGGTTAGTTTCACCAAAAAGTCCTCCACATAGGTAAATTTCTCCCAATACTTGTTCCACCGTCGGCCGAAGACTCTCTGTGCAGTAAATGGTTACTGATGCCCGTTAAATATGTTGAGTCACAAAGTCCTCCATGTTCCCATAACAAATCATATCTCTGGGGGTACTGATCCAGTAGTTTCCTTGTGCTCTGGATTGGTTCAAAATTGCAAGGCTACGGAGTAGAACATTAGTAGTCGTAAACCCAAAATTGGGTCGGCTGTTCAACGATGGTTATAAAATATAAAACTTGATCCAGGAGTTCCCTTGTCTTCTGGATTGGGTTAAAAATATAAGGCAACTGAGTTGAACATTAGTAGTCGTAAGCCCAAAAAATTAAAGACGTTTGGATAATACGACATGGGTGATCATGAATTTCAATATTTACAAGTTGTTTTCTACATTTTGTAGGAATAATTTGGCAACTGGAAGATAAAGAACATGCTGGAAAAATAATTTTATGAGGTGGAAATAATTTATAAATTTTAAGGAGAGAAAAAAATAATTATAAAGCACATTAACATAAATATTTTCCCATTTAATTCTCTGTATTCAGTGAGCTACGTATGGAACACACTAATTCAAACACTTATAGTTAAATAATCCCTATGGATTATAAAATTTACAATTCAAGATTAATTTCAATATTATAAAAAATAACAAATAAATACTTTATACCTTTTTTAGTTGATTTTCCTTTTTCAACTTGAGAATTACTGCGTCCATTTTTAAAAAGAGAAGCTAAGTGAGGAAAGAAAGTAGATGAAATGGTGCAAAATTTTAATATCTCAGCAATAAATTTAATTTATTTCAGAGAAACATTTAATCAGAAAAATATTTATATTTTTCAAATATTTTTAATTATTATTCTTGGCTTTGTTAAAAGGTTATAATTTGATTTGAATAAGAAACAGTTGTATTTAATTAGGAAATACAAACACATGAAGAAACATCGAAAATATATAGAGAGCATACATATATTAAAAACACATAAAATCCCAGTCAATTGAATAATATCCTCAGGAATACGAAGATTAAAATGAGTAGCATTATTATAAATTATTTGATCAAAAATGCTAGAAAGTAAACCTTTGATTGACAATAATATTTCAAAATCCTATTAATATATTTTAAAAAGAATAAAAATGAAATTGAGAAAACTTTCTAACCATACAAATTTAGTTGTGTTTTGATGCGAAATATATAATGCAATACCCTATAATAAAGAGTTCACAACTTAATTATTTGCAGTTCTGCAAAATTTGAGTTATGAAAAATTCTTTGTAATGTGATGACAGCTTTAGCCGAAGTGATTTCAAATATAGTAACCATTTTTTCAGTCACAAAATGGGCTTGAATATATGGGGAAAATTGCTAATTATATGTATTCTGATATAAAGGAGAAACTAATTTATTGCTATATACAAGGTGATTCTTAAAAGATGGGCAAAATTTTAGGAAGTAATAGTACACACCCAAGCAAACAATTTTCATCAAAGAATGCAAGATCGAAAACAAAACGCAAAGGTGCTGGCGCANAAATTGCTAATTATATGTATTCTGATATAAAGGAGAAACTAATTTATTGCTATATACAAGGTGATTCTTAAAAGATGGGCAAAATTTTAGGAAGTTATAGCACACACTTAAGCAAACAATTTTCATCAAAGAATGCATGATCGAAAACAAAACGCAAAGGTGCTGGCGCATTTGGAAAGTTGTTTGATGCTAACGTGAAAGCTCCATTCCTGTTGCGAGTTACTGCACTGCATTACTTATCGCCAAGCTTTCGGCAGCTGCAGGGAAGGTTCGTGATATGCCTGGTGTGTTTCAGAATGTTCGCCTATCTTTTCTTCTCCGTTGTACTGCGTGCATAGTAGCTGCCGGCCACTATTTTGAATACTTATTGTAATCACATGCCATTAAATTTGATTTTATAATTTAACTTCATCGTTCTTTGTGTGCTTTTGCCTCATATAAGAACATAAACTTAGACGCCCTCTAGCGGCTTTGCGTTTTATTTTCGACTATGCATTCTTTGATGAAAATTTTTTGCTTGGGTGTGTACTATCACTTCCTAAAATTTAGCCCATCTTTTTAGAATCACCTTGTAGACAAGTGAGGCATTGTTTCTGATGTACAGTTATATTCAAAATTGAATAAGATTAAGCTCAAGTCACTAAACCTAAAAGTTTAGAAGTTATAAAGATTCCATGAATAGTTAAGCTATAATATAAGTATTTATACCTATTTACGTATTTGTTGTCACTATCGAGGAAAAGTGAGGATATCATTTAATATGTATCTTTTGCCCAAAATCAAATGAGGTAAAAACAAAGTCATTTGGATTATTATTAAAATTAAAAGTTTTTATGTTTAAGCACATTTTTAAACTTATACTGATGACACAGTTGTCATGTTTATTCAAAGAAGCTGCACTTTTTTCCAAAATTAATGCCATTGAAAATCGAATGCATCTTAGGATCAAAATTCATTGGATAGGGGAAATAGAGTTTTTGGAATTATTTTCAGAATATGATAAAGATGGTTAGAGCAGATTCATGCATATTTTGATAAATTTTCACACATATTTTGATGAATTTCTACGGCAGTAAGTGAGTGCCCTTTCAAAACTACAAGTGCCCTTTTCTGTGAGAAAGCATCCTGCCTGCCTTTTTTAATTGGTTTTTACTTGTTTTTAAATGCAATATAACTAGCAGTTTTGAAGCTATGTTAGTTTGATGCTTAGACGGATATGGCGATTAAATGAAAAATAGTAATTTCTATGTCTCTCATTTCTTCTAAATAATTATCAACTCAATTTTTGTTTCCATTGAATTTAACATAAGAAACAATACCTCACTTCGGTAGAGAAAAATGTTGGACCCATCAATGAATTTAAATAAAAAAAGATTACACATGATGCTTTTGTAATATGCTTTTTTTATTGATAACATCTAAATTATTAGTTCTATCAACTTTGAATTATCTTTATTCAATTCTGATGAGTGAAATAAATTACTTTAGAAACACAACCTCATTTGTCTAGATAGAGATATTTAAGTTTCTTCCTTTGAATAAGCACCAATTTAAACTATTATCCTTTTACATTAAAAAATAAATAAAATAATGCTAACTTATTTATTATTAACTTATTATGCCAACATATGTTTAAACTTATGTTGGCATTTTAGACTATCCAAAATACTCCCAGTTCTAGTACGTAGTGACGGCTTACAACACTAAAATGCTTATCCTTTGCCAATTAAAAGTGTCAAAAGGTTTAAATCTATGAGTATTCTAATTTTTTTTTTTAAATTCTCTTTAACAAAAACACATTTAAAACCAGTTTAGTTCAAGTATTTATTGAAAATAAAGGAATATGTAAGTTATGCGTTGTAAAATAAATAATAATGATAAAATTAATTTTTCCATAAGGAAAATCGTAAATTTGATAAAAATTCAACTTTACTTTAAAAAAAAGTCTGTACGATTTCAAATGATTTTTTTTTTTTAAATTAGTGTCTTTCAGATTTTAGGATAAATTCATTTTGTCCTTATTATATTAAGAAATAATTTAATTATTATTAATTCATCTGAAAAAAAAAATTTTTGTGATCCTAAAAAGTAAAAAAAAAAAAGTTCTGTCTTATTCCTTATATAGTTGAGAAACAGTAAAAGGAAGATTTCTGTATTGGTGCCCATGGTAGGATAAATAATTAAGAGAAATTATTAGTGCATAGTTATCATTATTAGATATTTAAAAATTAATAATTATGGAAAACTAAATTTGACTAAAAATATATTATGCGTCATTCACAGTGACACCAAAAAGTCAAATTTTCTTCTACACTCTTCTTTTAAAAAATGTTGTGCAACCCTTAACAGAATATCATTACCTGCATTAAAATTGTGGCCAAGTTTTTGTGTCAGTTAATAGCAGTATGCAGGAAAAAACTATAAGAAATATCATCCCATGGCACAAATTTAAATGATAAAACTAATAGACAAACATACATATACATAAAAGGTTAATAATTTTTTCAAATTATTGAAACCATAATAACCAGACAATGGGAGTTGGTGTCCTAAAAATATTTCCCTATCAGTACCAGTACACACTAACTATAATAGCCAGGGCACTATAGTTTCGGCAAATCCTTTTTTAAAATTTCTGGCATAATACTGCTTGGAAGTCCATAAAACTCGGTGAATATTTTTGCACAGGTACCTACTAATACGAAAAATTTCCTAGTGCCTCCGTAAATTCAGTAAACTTGGTATTAGCAGGAACAAGTACTGATATGGAAATATACTGTTCTAAGTATAGAATATAGCTATGATATATTCTTACCATCAGTACTTAAGGGTGTTAAACCATATGGAGCACTGGGAGAACAAAGTAGTCCATTTGGCGATTTCGGGCTAAAATGTTCTTCAATGTGGGATGCCAATTCTAAACTACACATAAAATTAGAACTACCACATACAGGGCAACAATCATTGCAATTTTCATCACCAGGTGTAGCTTGAGTTGATTTAATAGGGCTCAAGATATCATTATGATCAACATTAACATGCAATTCGACATCTCTGCTGGAGTCGAAATTCCTGTCACATAATGGACATAGAAAAGGACTATTACTTCCACTATCATTATTAGAAAATTCGGGGAAAGAGGGACTTGTTAAATCAAAGTGTTGTCTATTTACATGTTCTTGGAGTTTAGTAGGACATTTATTAGAATAATCACATAGAGGACAGAGAGAATGATCACTACCTCTTGGACTGAGTAATACTTTTTTATATTTATTAGGGTTTAAATTAAGAGAAAGATTAGCTCGTTGAGGAGAACTTTCTGAGGCAGAATAGAAATTGGTGTCGGGTAAACCATTGCTTGACAAAGATACATCATCCATGGAATCACTAGACGATATAGTAAATTGAACATTATCTTCCGTTGGACTCAAGAAGTCTAAATGCATAGAATTAACATGAAAAACCATTTCCTCTGCAGATATATCTCCCAGATCACAGAAAGGACATGAAATTGCACCTTCAATGTGTGCTACCATGGTATGTGATCGCATCTCTACCTCAGAAAATCCTTCTTCACCGCAAATATCGCAGGTGTATACATACTCAGGATGTTTAGCTGCCATGGTTGTTTAAAATATATTATCAAAATAGTACAGAATAAAAGATTCAAAATATCTCAATTTATTCCAAAATTTTGTTTAGCAAATAGGAATTGATAAAAAATAAATTGGGAGTCTGATGTTTTTCCAAGTTCACAGATTCATGATTTAAGAACATTTCAAATTTTAAGACTAGAAAAGTAGTTCCGAGAAATGACAAGAAATATTTCAAAATAAAAGGTTTTGAATTCACTTATATGAAAAAGATCTCCAAATATACGTCACAATTAGATTAGATAATAATTATTTATCAACACTATAAAATTACAACATAACCCGGCAGAATCAGTCAGCTATTTAAAAAATATGTCCTGTGGAAACGAAACTACATACGCTTGACGCACGCCCATTAAAATAAAAATAATAAAACACGCAAGATGAAATATCAATACTTCAGCTCGAAAACACAAATCAAACTAATTAATATTGAAAAATTGTTATCTAAGCATGAATTTCTAGAAGTTAACAAAGAAGTTTCAGCCAAAAAAATTTTAATAAAATAATTGAAAAAAAGAAGAAAAAATCCCATGATCCTTTGACAGGAAGATTAACGCTGACTGTGACGTTTAATATAAAAATATTTATTTTTTGATATTTGGATTATTTATTTTGTCTGCTATGATACGTCTGATTTGAAGGTGATGTCGTATCGAACTGCATTCGTAGGATTAATCTATTTTTAATTAATTTGTTTGATTCGTATAGAAACTGTGATTTTCTTTGAAGAAGGAAAAAAATCGTACAGCTTTAGATTTAAATAAAATGAAAGAAGGGCGTTTGAAATGAAATGCGAGGTAATCTAAAATTTACTAATAAGTTTTGATTTTGCTTTAGAATGAAATAAGAGTTTTAACTTATTATTTTTCATTGTTATATGTTATGAGTCTCAAACATGTATTTGTCTATGTCACATGATGAGAAAACGTAATAAGGATGTAGTTACCGGAAGAATGAGGGTTGCATGCAAATAAGGATAAATTAAGAACACTCGAATTTGTTGTGAGTCTATTTTTTTAAATCGATAATGCAGCAATTTCTTCTCATTAAGAATTTTGTACTTTGATTTATTTAACAGTTGTTTCAAGATAAATGAAATTAATATCTTATATTAATTGATTGTGGTTGAGATCACAGAATAAATTTTGATTTTATTGGGAAATTTTCGATTTGAATGAGTTATGAGAAATTTCTGACAGTACTTTCGATACTATTCTGTTACGGGGGTTGTACTAAAATTGCCTTGTATTGTAAAAGTGTATTGATGTCAGCGATGCTTTAATTAATTGTATTAATGGGTACTGTGGAAAAGGCTTTCTTACTGTCTCTTGAAACACAATAGTACCATACTTTTAATTTAATGTGAGCCTTTTATAAAATTCTCTTTTTTAAAGTTTAATGTAGGTTTTTGTTGCCGAGTTTTATATCTGTGATAAGAACATTACTACCTTCTGTTTCAATAAATATAGGGCTTAAGAACAGATTATAAGGCCCTTATTCACCCACATAGCCATACACCCCTCATTACTATTCTAAAAAAGAATTAGATGGCAATTGGTGCCCTCCAGGAAGAAAGTAGAAGGGTGCACTTGCCCTGCTGGAAATGAAATAAATTATATTTTCTTTTTAAATTGCTACTAGCAGTGCTTGTTACATTTAATTTTGAAACTTTTCTGATTTATAAACTGAGTGTATAGTGTATTATATATATATNAATTATACAGTACAGAACCCGTTATCCGGAAACCGGAAAACCAAAAAACCGGAACGAAATTCAATAAATTTTCTCGCCATTTTTAAAAAAAAATAAAAAATTCTCATAAGATTTTTCTTTCTTTTTTTAAAGATGCTTACCTTACCATCATTTTGGAAATAATCATTAGTGTATTACTTCATCGTTTTTTCTTATTTTTAAGATTATTTCCAAATTTTTCTTTTTTTAGTTGGGTTTAACAATAAAAATAAACGGCTTTTTGTAGCATTTCAGAAAACCAGAAAATCAGTTATCCGGAATAGCGATGGTCCCGACCGTTCCGGATAATCGGTTCCCTACTGTATATATATATATATATGTATATATATGTTAGTTATGAAATCTAGTTATCAAATCTTTACTAAAACTTAGTGGCTTTAAAAGTTTGGTTAAATTACTAAATTTGTTTATAAAAATTAATTTTACAAAGTACAAAAAATAATATTTGAAATATTTTTCTGGTTGCACTAACTGACAGTATTTTTGCATGCACTCTTTATTATAACCTAAAAAATGGCTTAGCTATTATGTAACAATAAAAAGAGATAAGAGTTTAATTAATGGTGGTTTGCTTGTATTTCGTTCGGATATCGTTTATATGCATAAAAATAAATATATTTCTTATAAAATTAATGAGAAGACTTAGTTCTATAAAATGAAATTTAAATCAAAAATTTTTTTGGGAAAAATATTCATATTTATGAATGCTTTATAGCACATGCGCACATATTCATCAATAACTTTTTAATCTGCAGTTGCCAACTTTCCAATTACAGAAAAAGTGCTGAATTATTTTCGTTCATTTTTCCTATCTCTGAAGTAGATAGTTAAAAATAAGAAATAGTTTGTTATGAAAGAATAAAAAGTGGAAATTGGTATTTTTCTAAAAAGAACACCACATAAAATTGATGTGATTTGTATTATTAACAACAGTAGGGTTTGTTTTTTTTTTTCAGATGAGAAAAGTTATGAAAGTCTTAAAATTTTAAATATTTAGCACTTTAATTACATTTCAGAATCTATGTTTTCAAAATTTCTAATTAGGAATTACAATTTACTCTTTATATTATTATTATTATTTTAATTATTATTATCTTATTATATTAACTGCAATTTTTATAATATAATAATAATAACTAAAATAATATTATTTTAATTTTTATTATATTATTAAATGAAACATCCCTTATTTTTTTTAAAGGCGAATACAAAAAAATTGCAAAATTATTATTGATACTTAATTAACTCTGAAATACATACCATAGTAAATGGCATTGTAGTAAAAGGTATTTTCTACACATATAAACTGATAGGTACCAAATAAAATATGCTCTGTGTTAGACTGGTATTCTAGAATAGCAATCCAATTTTTTTAGGGCTACAGAACCCTAAATGATCAATCATCTTTTGGCAGAACCCAAACAATTTATTAGAAGGTGGAACATATTGACTAAAGAAAAACTACCAGTTATTTAGATAATATTTATTTTTAAAAATGGAATATTTTTAATAATTGTTTTATTAATGAAACTGAAATAGGTTTGTGTCAAACAGTTGAATTAACACATCTGGTGTAGTATCTAATCTAGTTCTGAATTTTGTTTTGAGTACATTCATTGGGTGAAAGTAAATAAAATGAGTTGAATTATGGTTTTTGAAAAAGATCTCTTATAAATATTGAGAATAGTTATCTGAGGAACATAATTCGCTATTTTTGAATTTGGTCATTTTATTTTGAATTGATAAGTTCAAGGAAAAATACAATGCAATTTTTTATAAATTTTGCCATTTCTTTTTTTATTTTATTGATATTTTACTTAAATAATTTCATAAAAATAACCAAACTATTGAAGAAATTATGTTGTGTTGTTGTAGTAAAAGAAGCGTAAAGGTAGTGTCCTTGGTATCACGTGATAGGATGAATGCCACATAGATCGGATCTGTATTCCACATTTATTGCACTTATATTTGACAAAAAAAAAAATCGTCATTAGCGCTTAAAAAAAATCGATATTGTAAGTTTACAATTTAGGCTATGTGAAAACCCCAACATTATAAATAGATAAATCTCACACTGGCCTTCGTCAAGGAGAATACAAGAATTGTCTTAATATTTTAAACTTGAACTATTCATAAAAACAATTTAATTATTTTTAAAACCCATGTTATCATTCAGTTTCTTAATCGTTTAACTGTAATCGTTAATATTTTGATTGCTCCTATTAAATAGATATGAGATGTCATGTTAAAAATTACAATTCTAAGAATGAATGAATATTGAATGGGAATTTAAGAATAAATGGGTCAATAAAGTCGTTAAAAAATACAAAGTTTAATTAATGTTGCTGTCTCCCCCTCCCGATGGCTTTGTGATGTAGAAAAGGATTTGAAAACATAAAAGGTGGCTAATTGGAATAGACGCCATTGGAAATACTCATTGTGTCGCTCCTAGCCTGCAATGGGCTGTAGCGCCCAGTGAAAGAAGAAAATTATGATCTTGATAAAAACTGTTATGGTTTACAGTAATTGAATAATAGAATGAGAAATATAACTTTTATTGAGTTATAGTATTTTTTTTTTTTTTTTTTTTTTTTTTTTTTTTTTTTTTTTTTTTTTTNTTTTTTTTTTTTACTTATTTCATTTAACTCTTTTTTTTTTCCTTCCAGATTTATACAATTAAAGAAAAAAAAATAGTAGGGAAAGTCGTATTTTGATTACATAGTATAAAAATGTATTATGAGAGAATTCTAAAATTTTATATTTAATATTATTTATTTACTTTTAATATTGCTAGAATGCTAATGTTGTCACTTCTGTTAGAATTTTCATAAAAATAGTAGGAATCAGGTAGTTCTCAAAATGCAGTAATGAAAAATTGTTTTATTTATTTATTTATTTTTTATCAATTCCAAATCATGAGCATCAAAAAGTCAAGAATCAATCACACAAAAATAAAAATTTATGTGTGATGTCCATGATTTTTTTTTACTTAGACCTTTGATCCTGAAATATCTAAATACTTTGAAATATTTTATTTTACAATTACAGTTAAATTTTATAAATATAATTATAGTTGAATTTTCTGTAAAATAAATGTGTGATAACACATTTGAAGCTATATTTTTGTATTAAAATTTATTTTCATTAAGTCATAATTATATTGCGTAGGGGGAATAAAAATGCTGAATAAAGTATAAAGAAAAAAAATATAAAATCAATAATAATAAAAAACTTTAAAAAGTTGAAAATCATCAAAAAAAATTTTAATAATCTCATTTTTAAAATGTTTTGTACATTGTTATTTTTTTGATTTCTCCTTAAAAAAATTATTTGATATAAATAAAACTGATATAAATCAATGAACCCTGTTCGTGTCTATTCACTCTGTTTTTATTAAATATTAGCAGTTTAAGCAAATTAATGCAAAAATTTATTAAAAATGCCATTAATGAAAAATTACCTTAATCTTCAGTGTTTGGAAAGAAAAAAAAAATTTTTTTTTTTTTTTTTATGATTAAGTAATTTATTATATGGTAAAATTAATAACTTGTCTGATTTATATATTTGACTGGTGTTTCTTTTAAATTAATTTAAATCCATGTGAAATACCTGTTTTTACGTTGTGATTTATTATCAAATTATTATAAAGTTTTTAAATATATTCCCTTTAAAATAACTAAGTAAATCCCGCTTTAATGGGAGTTTCCCATTCCTTCTAAAAAAAAAGAAGAAAAAAAGGTGGAGTTTTTCTTTTGAAGATGAAAGTTTTTACATCTGTGTAATGAATAGTTTGTTAGTTGCAAAAAAACAAAAACAAATTATAAAATCTAGAAGATTTTTATAGCTTATATTAACCACCTGAGTCTTTTTTCTGAAGTAAAAAACATCCATATTCAAAATTAAATGTTAAAAAATTTGCATTCCATTTTTGAAATTTATTTTATAGCAATAGAGTTATGTGCATCCTTGAGAATTCCCTAAAATTAAGTAAATTTCTTACAAAAAATCACTATTCAAAAAAAATTTCACACATTTTATTGCTTG